CCTGTTAGGCCTAGGAAGCTTCATAGCTCACGAACATTTCTTGGAAGGGAATAATTATGGATTGTTGCTATCTTTTCTGGATCTGTTTTTATCACATTGTGTGACACAATATAGCCAAGAAAAGGTGTTTCCAATTTGAAGAACTTGGATTTCTCCAATGATATTTTCATATTGGCTTCTTGTAAGATTTTTATAATTGTCAATAAATCTTTATGGTGCTGGGTCAATGATTCTGAGAAAACAATTATATCGTCCATATAGACGTGACAAATTTTACCAATTTGATTTCTTAAAATATCATCCATGGCTCTTTGGAAAATTCGGGGAGCATTAGTCAACCCGAAAGGTAGCCGTAAGAACTCGTATTTTCCGTTGTTAATGGAAAAAGCGGTTTTCTCGATATCGGATTCCTTCATGAGTATTTGATGGAATCCTGATTCTAAATCCAGTGTAGATAAATATTTTCCTAGCCTAGGTTTGCCAGAATGACCGATGGATCCTGCATAGGATACCTATCTGGTATCGTATTTTCATTTAATTTTTGAAATCCAAATACTAGTCTGTGTTTAGGGCTACCGTCTTCGTTGAACCCTTTTTTCGGTACAACTAACGCTGGTGAGTTATACGGACTCTTGCTTGATCTAATAACGTTTACTTCGAGCATTTTTTAATTTCGTTGTTAACGAAATTGGATAGTGATAGTGCATAAGGATATTGCTTACTGTATATCGGTCTATCATGGACCGTGTTGATTTCTCCTCTTACGTCTGTTCTGAATGGAATGAGGTATCGATTGCTCGTTTTGTATTGTTTCAATAATTTGTCTCTCCAATTTTTCAGTTTGATTGGAAGGGACATTATTAATATTATTAATTTGATAAGTGTCGGAATTATCATCGACGGCGTGTTCCGGATTTTGTAATCCGTTGTAATCCGAAACTAGAGTACTTTTGATTGGCGGAAGGAACATCGCTGGCGTTCTCGGCCTTATTGAATCCCAAGTTGGATACACTATTATTGGTGGCGGATATTTCTACGCCAGTATGCTCAGGATAACTCGATCCCGAGCTATCTATACTATCCTCTACAATAATTGATTCTGTTGTAAGTGCTTCCTGTTTCTCGTAATATTTTTTTAGGATAAATTCTCCCTTTGAGAGTCATCGTCATCGAAACGTAATTTTTCCTCTTTTCCGTTGTATTTGATAACCCCCTTTTGTATATCGATCTTAATACCTATTCTTTTCAAGAGGTTACATCCTATTAATAAATCAGATTCTAAGCCCTCTACTTCATAGAATCTCTGTCTAACGTTAAATATAACTATGTTATGGTAATATTTAATAATGGTGTGACCATTAATGGTCGACACCCTTTTGTGTATTGGTAATTCATATTTATTCGGGTAGATTCCCTTTTTTATATAACATGCTGTGGCTCCAGTATCAATTAGTATTTTTAGTTCTTTGTTAGACTTTTGATCTACCCTTGTTAAGTAAGGTAGTCCTGCTCCTGGCTTTGGTCTAAACAATTTTCTTCTTCGATATTATTTATCCTCATTGCCTTTGGTTCCGGTTGATTAATTAAACCGATAGGCATTCTCTTTAACGGTCCGTTTTGTTGATAATTTTTTTTGGTTCTCGGTGGTTTATACCGGTTGGAACTATTTCCTGGATTGTAATGATTTGGGTATTGTCTGTAATTGTTTTGGTTATAACTGACGGGCGGTCGGTTTTGAGTTTTGATGGACTCGTCAATCTCCATTGGTTCTGGAGTTGGATATTGGCGATTATTATTGGGTTTCCAGTTATTATTCTGGCTCCATTGATGACCCCATTGATTCTTGTTAAAATCTTGGGTCGGTTTTGATTTTGTTGTGGGAAATTGTTTTTGTTGAAGCTTGTATCATTACGGTTGTACCGGTAATTGGGACCGGGTTTGTTTTGAAAATTCGAATCATGATATCTCTGATTCAATCCAGTGAAATTATGAGCACATTTTGCTCTCATCTGGTTGCTTTCCATCTCCTGGACCAATGCCATTGCGTTTGGCAAGTCGGTCGGATTCATGGAGTATAGAATGGCTGATATTGGGCCGTTCAGGCCGGTTATGAAAACTCTTAAAGCGTTTTGCCTATGCCTGTTATTAATTTCGTTAGTAATAGCTTGGTTCCGTCCATATGTCATAATTGTTTTATTGGTCAGCAAAGTCAGCTTCCTATAAACTTGGTTATAATATTCTATAATGGTCATTTTTCCCTGTGTCAAGATACTTAGTTCCTGCTCTATTATATGCAGTGGTCTAAAATCTAATGGTCGAAATCTAACCTTGCTAAAATGGCATCAAAGTGTAATACAGTGCCATGTATAGTCAATGTGTCGTTCGCTTTTTCTGTTATTCTGTTTCTGAGGATTGATAACGCTGCGAAGTATCTTTTACTTTTGATAACATATTGTCCCATCGGGTTTTGCGGAATTCATTTAAAAAAATATATTTTTTAGTTTTTGTATTATTTATTGAATATTTGGAAATAAATTGAGATTGACTACGTGCTAGCTTATGCTAGTTGGAATTTGATGCAATTTGCACAACCGTTGATCTTCACGGTGTCGAATTAACTGAATCTAGCGGATCCAGATTTCTTCCAACGAACCTCGGCCAGATAGTGTTTACTTTATTTTTTCTTTTGCAATTGAATTGAGCTAGACTCATTTCGACTTGTGATGACATTCGATTGTTTTGCATATGTAACTGGTGCTGCACTAATGCGCTGTAGAAGCGGAAGCTAATCTTCAATTTGCACTGTGTAAATAATTTTGACGTGTAAAAATTGTGTGTAAATACTTCTGACAACAGACAAGCATCAGTTCAATGCTTTTATTTTTAGCCCATGAACAGTTATTTTTCCACTTCTTCTTTCGTTTGCATCTGTATAGATGTAGAAGCACGACAAATACCGTTATGTTCGTTTTGAGTACAAAAGCAGCAGCAATAAGCGATCAAAATTGACAATTGAAACAAAAAGCACGTTGTGTAAATACTCTTTACCACTTCTGTATATTACAAAAACAATGTTGCGTATTCTGCTTATTCTTAAGTTAGCTTATAGTTCTTTATGATGAGCAACACAAATTTCATATTCTTAACCGATAATTTCCTGTGCGGCTGAAAAGGTACATAGCTAAAAATCAGTCGTACGTTGCGTTGCCAGCAAATTGGTTTACATGCATAGAACCCAGAATCAAATGTTTTATTAAAAAAAAAAAACAGATATGTGTTTGCCTCACCATATCATTATCTAACATAATTTGGAGCTTTCATAAGCATTCAAAATATGTATATTCATTTTTCATTCAAATTTATTTTTTCAGTGCTGATATCAGAACATAAAATGTGTTTGTGTGTTTCATATGCGAAGACACCTCCAGTCTTTGGTCGTTTCTTGGGTGTAAGAAAGAGTTGTAAGAATGAAAACATATTAAAACTGATGGCATCTTCTTTTTGCTTTAATTTATTTAGTTTTAAGAGGTGGGAGAACAACAATAAAGGGTGGGCAAACGATAAAAACCATTTTTAAAGGGTGGGCAAACGATGAAAACCTTTTTTAAAGGGTTGGCAAACGATATTGTTTAAAAATATTTAGTTTTGAGATATGAAAAATGCTTAATTCCTTAAATTTTCTTATATTTTCTAAACTAAAAGATTTTTCAATATTCTAAAGGGGACAAACAAAGTTATTGCGATTAAAAAAAAAGTTCTAAAATGTCAACTGTCAAATGTCGGTATATACCCGCTTTTCGACCATAATTTAATTTTATCAATGTTGGGTCATCCGATTTTGATCAAACTTACACCAAAACAAGAGAGAATGCTATAGTCGAGTTCTCCGACTTCAAATACCCGTTACTAGGCGAGAAATTTCATAATTTTCTGGAATATCGGTAAAAATTGCAAAAAAGAACAATATAGAATGCTATAGTCGACTTCCCCGACTATCAGATACCCGTTACTCAGCTAGTGAAAGTGCTAACGAGAAATTTCAAACTTTTTTTTTATAATGGTAGAAATTGGTGAAAAAATAATACAAATTAAAAATAACTTATAAATTTCTTAAAAGTGTGGGCGTGAGAGTTTTGGGCGGTTTGTGGGCGTTAGAGTGGGCGTGGCAAAAATTTAGTGATTTTGTAGTAATGTTTGGCAAATCTGAAGTAATTTGCAGATATATATATCAAAAAATGAAATATCACATTTTTGAAAAGTGTGGGCGTGACAGTTTTGGGCGGATTGTGGGCGGTCGAAAAGGCGTGGCAAATTTTTTTTTTGGCAAATCGGTAGAAATTTACAAGACTAATAAAAAAATGAAAAATATCAACAGTGGGCGTTCGAGTGGGCGTGGCAACATCATTTAACAAATAATTATACCCGTTACTCCTAGAGTAAAAGGATATACTAGATTCGTTGAAAAGTAAGTAACAGGTAGAAGGAAGCGCTTACGACCGTATAAAGTATATTTGTATATTCTTGTCCGTTCGTATGAACGTCGAGATCTCAGGAACTATAAAATCTAGAAAGTTGAGATTAGGCATGCCGATTCCAGAGAAATAGACACAGCAGTTTGTTAAATGATGTTGCCACGCCCACTATAATACCCACAAACTACCACCGAAAACTACCGCGGCCACACTTTTCAAAAATGATTTGATATTTATTTTATTTTGTAATTAGTCCTATGAATTTCTATCGATATAGCCAAAAAAACTTTTTGCCAGGCATGCTCTTCCGCCCACTCACCAAAAATATTTTCCGGCAAATTTCTATCATTCTGCCAAAAAAAATTTTGCCACACCCACTTTAACGCTTACAAACCGCTTGCAAACCAAACCGGTCTATAGCATTCTCTTTTGTTTATTATGTGCTTATCGTAACGTCATTTTAATCTTAAGTTAAGAAATCTAGATCATACAATGTATTTCTAAATTAATATTAAATTTTTTTTAAAGTAATTATTTGCTTTTCTTTAGGCAACCACAACGACTTACACAGACAAAAATCATTTGACCGAATTATTCATTCAGAATCAAAAGATAGTTATAACGAGATTAATTACAACATTCATGGAAAGGTACATCTAAAAGCGGCTGATACTTTAATTTCTTCGAAATTGTAAGTAAAATAATTAAAAAAAAATAATTTAAATTAAAAAAAAAAATAATAAAATGTTTATATATTTTAGAAGAATGAATACGAATATGGGCTATGAAATGAATATCAACTGTTTTAAAAATATTGAATATGGCAAAAATCCAGAAACTTCAAAAGATATAGCAAATAGTTTTTTAAACAATGGTATTAATACAGAAGAGTCTGGCGCTGGTGATAAAAGTGCACCTTTCCTAACTTTAGGTACAACAATACTCAATTCAACTGGCAAGTCAAGACGATGGGAACAAAAGCTTGTTCAAATCAAAACTATGGAAGGAGAGTTTAGTGTTACAATGTGGGCATCCGGGATATCCGACGATGAATACTCCGGTTCAGAACAAATCGGTGATTCGGATATATTAAAAGAAAAGGAGGATATTGATTATGATCGCTTCACGTCTCAACGAAATAAAGAATACCAGAAAATGGAGTCGAAATTAACTAATACACAGGCACTTGAAATGCATCCACCTATAAGCTCAGTTCAAATCATGGATCAATTAACAAAGGAGAGGGGAATTTTGTTCCAAGAAAATAATTTTACCGAAAGGATTTTATCTAAGTCAAGCTTAAGTTTCGAAGACCCAATCTTAATTCCTGATTCTTCAAGTATTCAGTTGGTTAATGAAACTGCCGCAATGACAATTAATAATCACAGAATTTTAAATAATCATACGGACAATACAGGTGATCTGCATACATTGACAAGCTCAGTGCCATTTGATCTTGGCTTGCAGGAGGGACAAGTAAATGAAAGCTTATCAACATCACAAACAACCCACCATGAAAATACAGGTAAAAATTAAAGAATTTACAAAATATTCCTATATTTTTTGTTTTAATTTCTAATTAAAGGCTTGACAGGATGTGCTGAAGTCAGATTAAATCTTTCCGAAGTTACGGTGGCCTATACAAATGATAAAAAAATAGCTTGCCCTCATAAGGGCTGTCATAAGCACTTTAGAGATTCATCTGCGATGCGAAAACATTTGCACACTCACGGTCCTCGAGTCCATGTTTGTGCAGAATGTGGTAAAGCTTTCGTAGAAAGTTCTAAGCTTAAAAGACATCAGTTGGTTCACACCGGTGAAAAACCATTTCAGTGTACATTCGAGGGATGTGGAAAACGATTTTCTCTGGATTTTAACTTAAGGTACAGTAAAAAAGGGGGTAAATTAAAAATTAAAACCCAAGTATAGGGTAATGTATAGTGAGTGTCCTTTTTAACACTCACACAGGATAGTTTATTACTATTTTGAAGTACTCTAAAACTGTTTGGATGTTATTTCCACCGGATGTACAGAAGTAAGAGATAGGTGTTTCTAGACGATGCTGATTCGATTCTAGATGATGCTGACTACTGGTGTAGAACCTAGAGATCGCAATTATGATCACTTTTTTTTGCTAGCACCACATTATCTAAGAAAATTTACTTTAATATTCTGGAGGTCTTTAAACAAAGTTTTTTTTTGATACTTGTGTTATTTCCCTCACAGACAAAAGAGATTTTACAATTTAACGTTCCAGAGAACGTAACGTTCCAGAGTTCAGTTTATACTTTTTGTAATGGAATATTTACAAAACATTTCAACTAGATTCGTTAATAACCTTTTGAGCTTAATTACACACCAGTTACTCCACTTCTGATACCAGTTACTCAGCTAGTGATAGGTTTCTTCCTACCTTTTACAATGAGTATACCTTCACTCTACGAGTAACTGGTATAATAATATGTACCAACTAAGAACATTTTAATTTTTAACGGTCTAAATTGGCTTTGAAAAATCACCCCTATTTGGGGTTTTTCTTTTTTATGTGCAGTCGACCCGTGAATTCACCAAATAGAGCTAAAAGTAAACGATAAAGTCGATATATTAATTTAGATATATTTAATACTTAAACAAATAGTGGAAAATTAATTGTGCCTCAAAACTTTTTATGGCCCCATTAACATACGAAAGTTTAGACTCAACACCTGTAAAAAGAAACGATTTTGCACTGAATATATATACACTATATAACATTTAGTCATTCGATTATGTCGTATTCAATAAGTCATGTCACCGCCAATTCAGCTCTGGTGGCCAATTTTGAAAACAGTTCCTTACCTCGCTTTAGCCGAGTAAGGAGCACGTTATAGTCGTGAAACTATATTTCCTCTTGGTTTTTATTAACCGAAACCAATGGTTCACCGTCCAGGTTCTACCTCCGTTCTATCTTTACCGTCGGTAAAAATATTGTATTTATATAAAATATATTCTGTTATGTTCTGCGCTGGATTGAAATATTGTGTTTTCGTGTATCAGATGTTTAAGCTTAGTTATTTTCTATCTAAAACCTTCTAACTCGGAATGCACTATTTTTTGTACAAAAAAAAACAGGAATAGTCTGAAAATGATAGTAAAATAAGAGAAATGAAATCGCAGATTCGTTGTTTTCGATCATTAAGCGTAGTGTATTTTCGTTTTTAATTTTCAAACAGGCGGGATATTATCTAAATATATTGGAAACAAAATTATAGCCTCGATTTTTATTATAATTCGTTCTTTTAAAATATGTAATTACTCCAAGGGTATATAAGATTCGTTTTGCCGAAGCTTGCAATCCTTAGTTGTTTGTATGGTTAATTTTTTTTCCAAGTGATGCATTAATAAAAGAAAATCATAATTCGTCATTACCAGGAAAGCTTTTTAGACGAAATATAAATTTTTTCAAATGACCTTGTACTATCAATTATTTTTATTTGCAGAACGCACGTAAGAATACATACTGGAGATAGGCCTTTTGTTTGTCCGTTTGATGCCTGTAATAAAAAATTTGCTCAATCCACGAATTTAAAATCTCACATACTAACTCATGCGAAAGCAAAGTAAGTTTTTTTATAATATTCGAAAAAATTATTCCTAATTAGTTTCTTTTAAGGAGAAACACCAGCAGCACGGTGAAAAGTGGTTGTTCAAACTCTGACTCAAACAGCCAGAGTGAAGATAACTCTAGAAATTATGTTAAGGTAGAGCTACAGGATAGTGTTACAGAAAACCACGTACCGTTTGTGGTATACGCAGACTGAGCGTGTATATCGACAAATTTCCAAGTTCATCTCGATCAAATTTGGAATGATTATTAATGCTATATTTATTAATTATCATTAATATTCTTTTAATTTTTTAAAAGTCCCTTACGCAAACCCCAAAATTGTATAAAAATAATAACTAATTTTAAATTTAATAAAAAAAAATAATCTATGATTTCGATTAAATTGATTGAGAAATAAAACCAGATTAATGGTATGTAAATTATATTAATATTCGGATTGTAATGTAGTTCATAAAAATAAATATAAATTTGTCCTAACTTTTCCTGTATGCTCTTTGTCACGTAGGTTTAATTTTAGTTTTTATAGCCATTACTCTTAGAATAAATGGGTATACTAGATTCGTTGAAAAGTATGTAACAGGCAAAAGGAAGCGTTTCCGACCCTATAATATATACTTTATACTTTATTCTTGATCAGGATCAATAGCCGTGTCGAACTGGCCATGACTGTCTGTCCGTATGAACTCCTCGACCTCAGGAACTATTAAAGCTAGAAAGCTGGGATTAATCGCGGATTCCGGTGACATATACGCAGCGGAGGTTTATTTCCAAATGTTGCCACGCCCACTCTTACGCCTTCAAACCACCAAAAGTGTCACGCACACACTTTTGGAAAATGTTTTTATATTTTTTCATTAGTCTTGTAAATTTCTATCGATATGCCAAACATATTTTTTCTACGCTCACAAGCCGCCCAAAACTACCACGCCCACACTTATGAAATTTGTTATACCCGTTACTCGTAGAGTAAAAGGGTATACCAGGTTCGGTGCAAAGTATGTAACAGGCAGAAGGAAACGTTCCCGACCATATAAAGTATATATATTCTTGATCAGGATCAATGGCCGAGTCGATCGTGTCATGTCTGTCCGTCCGTCCGTCTGTCCGTATGAACCCCTCGAACTCAGAAAAGCTTCTTTCCAAATTTTGTTACGCCCACTTTTACGCCCAGAAGACGCCCAAAACTGTCACGCCCACAATTTTGAAAAATGTGATATTTTTTCATTTTTGAATATATTTTGTAAATTTCTATAGATTCGCCAAAAACCTTTCTGCCATACCTACTCCTACGCCCACAAGCCGCCCAAAACTGTCACGCCCGCACTTTCGAAAAATGTTTAATTTATTTTTAATTTTTTTATTTTTTTTTCCCGATATTCTACCGTTATTCCTGAAAATGTTGAAATTTCTCGTTCGCACTTCCACTAATTGAGTAACGGGTATTTGATAGTCGGGGAACTCGACTATACCATTCTCTCATGTTAATTATATTTTTAGGAGTATGCAAATACAATAATGAATAAAAGTATGTTAACATGAACTTCCTTTATGTTCATATTGAAGTGAAGCTATGTTTGAACTTAATTTAAGTAAACTTCGACAGTGCCTAAGAAAGAAAAAATGGGAATCTGCAGTGATCGCCCTATCTCGCTCACCATTTGAAATGTAAGCAAGGTCTATTTAAAGATTTAAAAAAAAATACAATGGGTTCAAAAATGTAATAGTGTTAATTTCAAAAGTGTAAAGCTCACCGCGTACTATATTTCAATTTTAACTTTTGTTTAACATATTATCCAGTTTTTTTTTAATTTATATAATTTTTCGTAATTGACCATTGACTAACAATCTACCATTGGGGATTGTTATAGATATATATAAGATGAATGATTCTTTTTTGGACTGATACTTACAGTGCCGCCCAATAGGTTTGACATTTTTTATACCCGTTACTCGTAGGGGGTATACTAGATTCGTTTAAAAGTATGCAACAGGTAGAAGGAAGCCTTTCAGACCCTATAAAGTATATTTATTCTTTATCAGGGTCACTAGCCGATTAGATCGGTCCATGTCCGTCCGTATGAACGCCTGATATAGGAACTATGAAAGCTAAAAAAGCTAGTTGAAATTAAGCATGCAGATTTCAGAGACATAGACGCGGTACGGGTTTATAAGGAATCATATTATTTCTCCGAAATTGTACTCATCTTCAAGGTTCAAAATTGAAGCTCAAATGTTCCATTAAAACAAAGGACTTTTAATAATCTTACTCCACCTGCACTACTGTGATGTCGACATGAAAAACCTTATTATTTAATAATTATAGCCATCCGGCCCATCAAGGCTGAACTTCCTTTTGCCTGATAAGGTTACTGTCTTATATTAAAACTTAATATAATCAATAAAAAAGTTTGCCCACCCTTAAAAATAAATAAATACGATTACCTATACTGGTATATATATACATACTCGATGTATGTATTTTCAGTGAGCTGCGCTCCAATTCACACGTGTTGAAGCAAATTTGTCATATCCGATAACGTAATTAAAAAAATAACAAATAATATACGATTGCCAAAAGTATGTTACTATATTTTTTGTAAATATATTCGTTTGAGCCTCCCATACAAAATAATTTAGATAAATTCTTAATTTAATACAATGTTACTAAAGCATACCAATTTTTTAATTTATGGGGTGCGTAATGCCTGAGCTTTGGAGCCTTGAGCCCAATTTTTTTTTGGATTAAGAGGGAAAGTTAAAGGTTTAGAGTTTCTTTTCCCCGGGCTCTACGTTTGCTCACAGAAAGCGTCGGCTCTGATGGCGTTTCGGCAGACATAGCATACGGCTAAATATGAAAAGGCAATACATTTATTGGAAATATCTATTATTCCTCGATATGTTAAGCAAATTATAATCACATTTTCATCACTTTACATTTTTAAATGAAATGAGAGAGCGAGAGAGTCCGCTGTGCTGAATGAATTCCCTCTATCTGGTTTATTAGTAGCTATGAATTGTGGAACTGCAGGAATGTTTTGGGATGTACAGAAACATATACATAAGTACATATGTATGTAAACATAGACCTTAATTTGTTACGTTGCTTTATCAATATACACATAAGATCAATCATTTTCTTCCAATGAATCAACTTTACTTAATATTTGTCAATTTTTTTTTGGATTAAGAGGGAAAGTTAAAGGTTTAGAGTTTCTTTTCCCCGGGCTCTCCGTTTGCTCACAGAAAGCGTCGGATCTGTTGGCGTTTCGGCAGACATAGCATACGGCTAAATATGAAAAGGCAATACATTTATTGGAAATATCTCTTATTCCTCGATATGATTAAGCAAATTATAATCACATTTTCATCACTTTACATTTTTAAATGAAATGAGAGAGCGAGAGAGTCCGCTGTGCTGAATGAATTCGCTCTATCTGGTTTATTAGTAGCTATGAATTGTGGAACTGCAGGAGTGTTTTCGGATGTACAGAAACATATACATAAGTACATATGTATGTAAACATAGACCTTAATTTGTTACGTTGCTTTATCAATATACACATAAGATCAATCATCTTCCAGTGAATCAATTTTACTTAATATTTGTCAATTTCAGGCAAAAAAAAGGTATTTTGAACTGCCTTGAGCTTGGACAGGAATGATGTACAAATTATATTATATAATTTGTTTACACGCGGCGGCTCCTTGACGATCGCTTGGTGTACGTGGCTTCCTCGGGCGGGCACAATGGTTTTTATTTTCACTGGTCGAGAATCCCTGAGTAGACTGGTCACTGCTGGTGGGCGGCCACTGGTTATTGTTGCCAAAAGGAATAAGGTTGAGAAGAAACTATCCTCCTATGTCGCTGGCCTGAAATTCAGTTTGCCGAAATAAAATATATTAACGACAATTGTCGGAGCTCATGTTATGATCCACTGAGGGACTACAAGAATAATGGATTTTTAGCAGGGAATCGCGGAAAATGTTTCCATACCAATGCAACTCCGTTCGTTATAGGGAGATATTGGGAGTGAGAGTAGTCCGTCACTCTAGCGTCACTTAATACAATTCATATAATCATATGATATGATAATCATATCATATAATTATGATATGATATATAATAATATAGCTAGTCTTCTATTGTTAATTCTGAGTTGTTACCTTTTAGTTTTGTTAACTTACCCACATATGTATGAAAGTTTTTGTTTTTCCGCTTCGGAAATAAAATAAAAATAAAACAATTTTTTTTTCTATTTTAATGCATTTTAGCGAAGTTATAATGATAAGGTTACGGTTATAAATACAGAATTCTAATAACTATGGCTTTTATGGGTGACAGCGACGGCGGCAGCCAAACGGACTTTGTAAAATATTTCGCGAAAATCGCTACATCAATAACACTTTGCCTAAAGAAAGGAGCTAAAATAAATATTAATATGATCCCAGTTATGATGGAGCGTTTGAAAAATTAAAAACTTTATATAGTAACGATCCAATTCTTACACATCCAGATTTTGTAAAGAAAATCGTTTTAGCTACAGATGCAAACAATTATGGATAAGGTGCCGTATTATCCCATAAATTTAAAGCCATCCGTTTTGCCAGTATAACTTTAAACAAACATTAGTTAAATTATGCAGCCATTGAAAAAGAACTACCAGCCATGGTGTTGGCAATTAAATATTTCCACTCTTCGGAAGAAGTTTGAAAATATGCTCTGACCATAAATAAAGGAAATCAAGATTTTAACAAACTGTCAGTTTGAATAAACTTGAATAAAATATCAATAAAATAATGTGACATGACTGAACGTTTAGAAAAATATATAATTATAAAATTTATATGTGGACACAATTTTTTTGTACGTTAATAAAGACGCAGACTTGCAATTTTTTAGTCTTTATGAAATTAATTGAAGCAAATACTGGAACAAAAATATCCGCGATAAATACGTTATAGACTACTATTTTATTGACCAACGTACATTTCCATTTTTGAAACAAAAACCACAGATTGGATTGAAAGTAAAGAAGCTCATCTAAAAATGTTGTGGGCAGGGAGGAGGAAGTGGCCCTATTTGTAAACAAACTTTATCTGCTTTTTTATCTCTGGAATCTGCATGCTTAATCTCAAATTTCTAGCTATTATAGTTCCTAAGATCGACTCGGCTATTGATCCTGATCAAGAATATAAGTCGGAGAAACGACCTGTTGCTGATTATGAGATAGGTGATGTTGTTGCAGATGCTGGGAATCGTGATCAAGGTGGCCTGCACTTGTATTTATATATTATATATATTTCTTCTTGAGTTGAGTGTAGAATGTGCGGCTGTAAAATACGATGTGGAAGCTTATGTGATAGTGTCCCGAGCCCGTTGCTATGATGTGACGATGTCTGTACATCCATTATAAGCATCAATGATTCAGCAGAAAGTTCCTGGAATACAGAAAATTTTGTGTTATTTTATTATGAAAGGAACGAGCAGAGAAGTTAGCTTAGCAAAAGTGTATCTATGCAGACATTTTCTAAAATAGACTTACCCTGCGACTGCGTCTTTAGAATCTGCAGATCGACTTGGTTAATGAGTTATGATTATACTCTATAGGATGAAAACGCTTCTTATACCTGTTGCATACGTTTCATGGAATACTTTTACTCTAAGAGTGACGACTAGAATAAATTAAAGCAAGCAAACAAGCTGTATCTCCTTGCAGAAAGTAAGTATTAAAAAGGTGTGTTTCGAAAAAGAGTAATTTATGATAAACAAGAGAGAATGCTATAGTCGAATTCCCCGACTATCAGATACCCGTTACTCAGCTAGTCGAAATTAACTAATACACAGGCACTTGAAATGCATCCACCTATAAGCTCAGTTCAGATCATGGATCAATTAACAAAGGAGAGGTGAATTTTGTTCCAAGAAAATAATTTTACCGAAAGGATTTTATCTAAGTCAAGCTTAAGTTTCGAAGACCCAATCTTAATTCCTGATTCTTCAAGTATTCAGTTGGTTAATGAAACTGCCGCAATGACAATTAATAATCACAGAATTTTAAATAATCATACGGACAATACAGGTGCATATATTGACAAGCTCAGTGCCATTTGATCTTGGCTTGCAGGAGGGACAAGTAAATGAAAGCTTATCAACATCACAAGCAACCCACCATGAAAATACAGGTAAAAATTAAAGAATTTACAAAATATTCCTATATTTTTTGTTTTAATTTCTAATTAAAGGCTTGACAGGATGTGCTGAAGTCAGATTAAATCTTTCCGAAGTTACGGTGGCCTATACAAATGATAAAAAAATAGCTTGCCCTCATAAGGGCTGTCATAAGCACTTTAGAGACTCATCTGCGATGCGAAAACATTTGCACACTCACGGTCCTCGAGTCCATGTTTGTGCAGAATGTGGTAAAGCTTTCGTAGAAAGTTCTAAGCTTAAAAGACATCAGTTGGTTCACACCGGTGAAAAACCATTTCAGTGTACATTCGAGGGATGTGGAAAACGATTTGCTCTGGATTTTAACTTAAGGTACAGTACAAAAAGGGGGTAAATTAATAATTAAAACCCAAGTAGAGGGTAATGTATAGTGAGTGTCCTTTTTAACACTCACACAGGATAGTTTATTTCTATTTTAAAGTACTCTAAAACTGTTTGGATGTTATTTCCACCGGATGTACAGAAGTAAGAGACAGGTGTTTCTAGACGATCACCAGTGATGCTGACTACTGGTGTAGAACATAGAGATCGCAATTATGATCTCTTTTTTTTGCTAGCACCACATTATCTAAGAAAATGTACTTTAATATTCTGGAGGTCTTTAAACAAAGTTTTTTTTTATACTTGTGTTATTTCTCTCACAGACAAAAGAGATTTTACAATTTAACGTTCCAGAGAACGTAACGTTCCAGAGTTCAGTTTATACTTTTTGTAATGGAATATTTACAAAACATTTCAACTAGATTCGTTAATAACCTTTTGAGCTTAATTACACACCAGTTACTCCACTTCTGATACCAGTTACTCAGCTAGTGATAGGTTTCTTCCTACCTTTTACAATGAGTATACCTTCACTCTACGAGTAACTGGTATTACAATATTATCTAAATATATTGGAAACAAAATTAGAGCCTCGTTTTTTTATTATAATTCGTTCTTTTAAATTATGTAATTACTGTAAGTTTTGTATAATATTCGAAAAAATTGTTCCTAATTAGTTTTTTTTAAGGAGAAATACCAGCATTTCGGTGAAAAGTGGTTGTTCAAACTCTGACTCAAACAGCCAGAGTGAAGATAACTCTAGAAATTATGTTAAGGTAGAGCTACAGGATAGTGTTACAGAAAACCACGTACCGTTTGTGGTATACGCAGACTGAGCGACAAATTTCCGATCAAATTTGGAATGATTATTAATATTATTTTTATTAATTATCATTAATATTCTTTTAATTTTTTAAAAGTCCCTTTCGCAAACCCCAAAATTGTATAAAAATATTAACTAATTTTAAATTTAATAAAAAAAAATAATCTATGATTTCGATTAAATTGATTGAGAAATAAAACCAGATTAATGGTATGTAAATTATATTAATATTGGGATTGTAATGTAGTTCATAAAAATAAATATAAATTTGTCCTAACTGTTCTTTTCCTGTATGCTCTTTGTCACGTAGGTTTAATTTTAGTTTTTATACCCATTACTCTTAGAATAAATCGGTATACTAGATTCGTTGGAAAGTATGTAACAGGCAAAAGGAAGCGTTTCCGACCCTATAATATATACTTTATACTTTATTCTTGATCAGGATCAATAGCCGTGTCGAACTGGCCATGACTGTCTGTCCGTATGAACTCCTCGACCTCAGGAACTATTAAAGCTAGAAAGCTGGGATTAATCGCGGATTCCGGTGACATATACACATCGGAGGTTTATTTCCAAATGTTGCCACGCCCACTCTTACGCCTTCAAACCACCAAAAGTGTCACGCACACACTTTTGGAAAATGTTTTTATATTTTTTCATTAGTCTTGTAAATTTCTATTGATATGCCAAACATATTTTTTCTACGCTCACGAGCCGCCCAAAACTACCACGCCCACACTTATGAAATTTGTTATACCCGTTACTCGTAGAGTAAAAGGGTATACCAGGTTCGGTGCAAAGTATGTAACAGGCAGAAGGAAACGTTCCCGACCATATAAAGTATATATATTCTTGATCAGGATCAATGGCCGAGTCGATCGTGTCATGTCTGTCCGTCCGTCCGTCTGTCCGTATGAACCCCTCGAACTCAGAAAAGCTTCTTTCCAAATTTTGTTACGCCCACTTTTACGCCCAGAAGACGCCCAAAACTGTCACGCCCACAATTTTGAAAAATGTGATATTTTTTCATTTTTGAATATATTTTGTAAATTTCTATAGATTCGCCAAAAACCTTTCTGCCATACCTACTCCTACGCCCACAAGCCGCCCAAAACTGTCACGCCCGCACTTTCGAAAAATGTTTAATTTATTTTTAATTTTTTTATTTTTTTTTCCCGAATTTCTACCGTTATTCCTGAAAATGTTGAAATTTCTCGTTCGCACTTCCACTAATTGAGTAACGGGTATTTGATAGTCGGGGAACTCGACAATACCATTCTCTCATGTTAATTATATTTTTAGGAGTATGCAAATACAATAATGAATAAAAGTATGTTAACATGAACTTCCTTTATGTTCATATTGAAGTGAAGCTATGTTTGAACTTAATTTAAGTAAACTTCGACAGTGCCTAAGAAAGAAAAAATGGGAATCTGCAGTGATCGCCCTATCTCGCTCACCATTTGAAATGTAAGCAAGGTCTATTTAAAGATTTAAAAAAAAATACAATGGGTTCAAAAATGTAATAGTGTTAATTTCAAAAGTGTAAAGCTCACCGCGTACTATATTTCAATTTTAACTTTTGTTTAACATATTATCCAGTTTTTTTTTAATTTATATAATTTTTCGTAATTGACCATTGACTAACAATCTACCATTGGGGATTGTTATAGATATATATAAGATGAATGATTCTTTTTTGGACTGATACTTACAGTGCCGCCCAATAGGTTTGACATTTTTTATACCCGTTACTCGTAGGGGGTATACTAGATTCGTTTAAAAGTATGCAACAGGTAGAAGGAAGCCTTTCAGACCCTATAAAGTATATTTATTCTTTATCAGGGTCACTAGCCGATTAGATCGGTCCATGTCCGTCCGTATGAACGCCTGATATAGGAACTATGAAAGCTAAAAAAGCTAGTTGAAATTAAGCATGCAGATTTCAGAGACATAGACGCGGTACGGGTTTATAAGGAATCATATTATTTCTCCGAAATTGTACTCATCTTCAAGGTTCAAAATTGAAGCTCAAATGTTCCATTAAAACAAAGGACTTTTAATAATATTACTCCACCTGCACTACTGTGATGTCGACATGAAAAACCTTATTATTTAATAATTATAGCCATCCGGCCCATCAAGGCTGAACTTCCTTTTGCCGGATAAGGTTACTGTCTTATATTAAAACTTAATATAATCAATAAAAAAGTTTGCCCACCCTTAAAAATAAATAAATACGATTACCTATACTGGTGCATATATACATACTTGATGTATGTATTTTCAGTGAGCTGCGCTCCAATTCACACGTGTTGAAGCAAATTTGTCATATCTGATAACGTAATTAAAAAATAACAAATAATATACGATTGCCAAAAGTATGTTACTATATTTTTTGTAAATATATTCGTTTGAGCCTCCCATACAAAATAATTTAGATAAATTCTTAATTTAATACAATGTTACTAAAGCTTACCAATTTTTTAATTTATGGGGTGCGTAATGCCTGAGCTTTGGAGCCTTGAGCCCAATTTTTTTTTGGATTAAGAGGGAAAGTTAAAGGTTTAGAGTTTCTTTTCCCCGGGCTCTACGTTTGCTCACAGAAAGCGTCGGCTCTGATGGCGTTTCGGCAGACATAGCATACGGCTAAATATGAAAAGGCAATACATTTATTGGAAATATCTATTATTCCTCGATATGTTAAGCAAATTATAATCACATTTTCATCACTTTACATTTTTAAATGAAATGAGAGAGCGAGAGAGTCCGCTGTGCTGAATGAATTCCCTCTATCTGGTTTATTAGTAGCTATGAATTGTGGAACTGCAGGAATGTTTTGGGATGTACAGAAACATATACATAAGTACATATGTATGTAAACATAGACCTTAATTTGTTACGTTGCTTTATCAATATACACATAAGATCAATCATTTTCTTCCAATGAATCAACTTTACTTAATATTTGTCAATTTTTTTTTGGATTAAGAGGGAAAGTTAAAGGTTTAGAGTTTCTTTTCCCCGGGCTCTCCGTTTGCTCACAGAAAGCGTCGGATCTGTTGGCGTTTCGGCAGACATAGCATACGGCTAAATATGAAAAGGCAATACATTTATTGGAAATATCTCTTATTCCTCGATATGATTAAGCAAATTATAATCACATTTTCATCACTTTACATTTTTAAATGAAATGAGAGAGCGAGAGAGTCCGCTGTGCTGAATGAATTCCCTCTATCTGGTTTATTAGTAGCTATGAATTGTGGAACTGCAGGAATGTTTTGGGATGTACAGAAACATATACATAAGTACATATGTATGTAAACATAGACCTTAATTTGTTACGTTGCTTTATCAATATACACATAAGATCAATCATTTTCTTCCAATGAATCAACTTTACTTAATATTTGTCAATTTTTTTTTGGATTAAGAGGGAAAGTTAAAGGTTTAGAGTTTCTTTTCCCCGGGCTCTCCGTTTGCTCACAGAAAGCGTCGGATCTGTTGGCGTTTCGGCAGACATAGCATACGGCTAAATATGAAAAGGCAATACATTTATTGGAAATATCTCTTATTCCTCGATATGATTAAGCAAATTATAATCACATTTTCATCACTTTACATTTTTAAATGAAATGAGAGAGCGAGAGAGTCCGCTGTGCTGAATGAATTCGCTCTATCTGGTTTATTAGTAGCTATGAATTATGGAATTGCACGAATGTTTTGGGATGTACAGAAACATATACATAAGTACATATGTATGTAAACATAGACCTTAATTTGTTACGTTGCTTTATCAATATACACATAAGATCAATCATCTTCCAGTGAATCAACTTTACTTAATATTTGTCAATTTCAGGCAAAAAAAAGGTATTTTGAACTGCCTTGAGCTTGGACAGGAATGATGTACAAATTATATTATATAATTTGTTTACGTGGCTTCCTCGGGCGGGCACAATGGTTTTTATTTTCACTGGTCGAGAATCCCTGAGTAGACTGGTCACTGCTGGTGGGCGGCCACTGGTTATTGTTGCCAAAAGGAATAAGGTTGAGAAGAAACTATCCTCCTATGTCGCTGGCCTGAAATTCAGTTTGCCGAAATAAAATATATTAACGACAATTGTCGGAGCTCATGTTATGATCCACTGAGGGACTACAAGAATAATGGATTTTTAGCAGGGAATCGCGGAAAATGTTTCCATACCAATGCAACTCCGTTCGTTATAGGGAGATATTGGGAGTGAGAGTAGTCCGTCACTCTAGCGTCACTTAATATAATTCATATAATCATATGATATGATAATCATATCATATAATTATGATATGATATATAATAATATAGCTAGTCTTCTATTGTTAATTCTGAGTTGTTACCTTTTAGTTTTGTTAACTTACCCACATATGTATGAAAGTTTTTGTTTTTCCGCTTCGGAAATAAAATAAAAATAAAACAATTTTTTTTTCTATTTTAATGCATTTTAGCGAAGTTATAATGATAAGGTTACGGTTATAAATACAGAATTCTAATAACTATGGCTTTTATGGGTGACAGCGACGGCGGCAGCCAAACAGACTTTGTAAAATATTTCGCGAAAATCGCTACATCAATAACACTTTGCCTAAAGAAAGGAGCTAAAATAAATATTAATATGATCCCAGTTATGATGGAGCGTTTGAAAAATTAAAAACTTTATATAGTAACGATCCAATTCTTACACATCCAGATTTTGTAAAGAAAATCGTTTTAGCTACAGATGCAAACAATTATGGATAAGGTGCCGTATTATCCCATAAATTTAAAGCCATCCGTTTTGCCAGTATAACTTTAAACAAACATTAGTTAAATTATGCAGCCATTGAAAAAGAACTACCAGCCATGGTGTTGGCAATTAAATATTTCCACTCTTCGGAAGAAGTTTGAAAATATGCTCTGACCATAAATAAAGGAAATCAAGATTTTAACAAACTGTCAGTTTGAATAAACTTGAATAAAATATCAATAAAATAATGTGACATGACTGAACGTTTAGAAAAATATATAATTATAAAATTTATATGTGGACACAATTTTTTTGTACGTTAATAAAGACGCAGACTTGCAATTTTTTAGTCTTTATGAAATTAATTGAAGCAAATACTGGAACAAAAATATCCGCGATAAATACGTTATAGACTACTATTTTATTGACCAACGTACATTTCCATTTTTGAAACAAAAACCACAGATTGGATTGAAAGTAAAGAAGCTCATCTAAAAATGTTGTGGGCAGGGAGGAGGAAGTGGCCCTATTTGTAAACAAACTTTATCTGCTTTTTTATCTCTGGAATCTGCATGCTTAATCTCAAATTTCTAGCTATTATAGTTCCTAAGATCGACTCGGCTATTGATCCTGATCAAGAATATAAGTCGGAGAAACGACCTGTTGCTGATTATGAGATAGGTGATGTTGTTGCAGATGCTGGGAATCGTGATCAAGGTGGCCTGCACTTGTATTTATATATTATATATATTTCTTCTTGAGTTGAGTGTAGAATGTGCGGCTGTAAAATACGATGTGGAAGCTCATGTGATAGTGTCCCGAGCCCGTTGCTATGATGTGACGATGTCTGTACATCCATTATAAGCATCAATGATTCAACAGAAAGTTCCTGGAATACAGAAAATTTTGTGTTATTTTTTATGAAAGGAACGAGCAGAGAAGTTCGCTTAGCAAAAGTGTATCTATGCAGACATTTTCTAAAATCGACTTACCCTGCGACTGCGTCTTTAGAATCTGCAGATCGACTTGGTTAATGAGTTATGATTATACTCTATAGGATGAAAACGCTTCTTATACCTGTTGCATTCGTTTCATGGAATACTTTTACTTTAAGAGTGACGACTAGAATAAATTAAAGCAAGCAAACAAGCTCCTAGCAGAAAGTAAATATTAAAGTGGTGTGTTTCGAGAAAGAGTAATTTATGATAAACAAGATAGAATGCTATAGTCGAATTCCCCGACTATCAGATATCCGTTACTCAGCTAGTGGAATTGCGATCGAGAAAAGTCAACATTTTTTGGAATATCGGTAGAAACTGGAAAAAAAATTATAAAGATAAAGAATTAAACATTTTTTTTAAAGTGGGGCGTGACAATTTTGTGCTATTAGTGGGTATTAATTTGGGCGTTTCAAAACGCCTCTGGAATCGAAATGTTGATCTCAACTTTCTAGTTTTATAGTACCTGAACGGACGGACATGGCCAGATCAACTCGGCTATTCAATCCTGATCAAGAATATATATACTTCATATACTTCTACCTATTACATCCTTTTTAACGAATCTAGTATGGCTTCTTACTATACGAGTAACGGGTATAATCAAAAGATGAACAGAATGTAAGATAGGTTTTAAATCTATTCAGTTAAGTGGAACTGTATGAGCCATCCTTCGTGTTACATAATTTGCGTGTTCTTTTATTGTGACAAAGCTCCTAATGAAATAGATGCCACTTATTATCACTTCCTATTTTATCATTTACTTCTGTAATATATGTAATATGTTTTCGATGTCTCCGAAATTTTTATTTTTGTGACGGCTTGTACGAAAGTAGTTTTTTTGTACATTTATGTTGTATTTTTCCTTAGACAGGTTTGAGGTTCCCTCCTTTAAGAAATAATTAAGGAAAATTATTAATCATTCGTATCTTATAAATAAATTTATGTTATTACATTTTTAAGGCAAGAGGTTCAAATTTGTGAAATTAGACCTGTCATATCTACTGGGCTAGAATAAAAATATATACGCAGGGTCGGAAACTCTTTTTTTTTTAATCAAAACCGAATGCCTATATGGGTAGGAGCGTCGGAAAATGTGATGGAAGTGAAATCCTAACCTCGTTGTTTTCGATGTTCGTTGACAGAGCGTCTAACAAATAGCTCAACGTAAGACCTCAACAGAAACCCGAACCGGTCATTTGCGAGTGATATCACTAGCTCCGTAAAATACAAATTTGGTCGGGACAAGTTGTTTTTAGAGAAAATATTTCGTTTAAGACTATTTTGTTTGCAAGGGTGCGAGTTTTGGCGTGGCCAAAATAGTTTTGCAATATCGAAAGAAGTTGTCAAGTACAATAATAAAATGAAGTGAACTATAGAGGAAATTAATACTAGGCATTCCGATTCTATTAACGCCAAAGTTTTAGAAGTTTGAGGGGGTTAGAATGGGCAGGCAATCATCTGTAACAAACTTGAGCTGCGACTTTTGAAGTTCCCGAGATATCATTGTTCATACAGACAGACGGACGGACAGTAGGACATGACCAGACAGTCTGACATACATATATTCAACGTATTTAATAAAATAAGTTTAAAAAATAAAATGAAAAAATCAACTTTTAAAACCCCACACACAATTATCAATTTTTTAATAACAATATAAATAGAAATACTATATTTGAAATACTTACTTTTTCTCCAACTACAATTTCATTTTGATTGCCGTGCTGTTTTACATGAATAAAATTATTACTATCGGTCGCTGAAGGATGATTAAAGTGAATCCCTGATTTTTGTGTTGCCGGAGGTAGTTTTATAGAATCGAAATCTGGGATCCTCCACATTTTAAGATCATCATTCCATGAAGAATTTTGCAAAATAGTATCTAGAGTCCTGTTTTAAAAACAAAATATGTTTCAAAAAAATATGTTTCAAAAAATTATAGATAATAAACTAGACAATATTTTTGTATTGTTCCGTTTTAGGCCCATTAAAGTATATACAATTGTCCGCAGTTTCACAAACGTAAACGGCTTTCACGCCCACAATATTAACATTTTTTCCCGATTTTTTTGCCAATTTTGATGTGTGTATCTACTAACTATCTCTCTTTTTCTCTCTCTCTCTATTGAAAGCTAATTATTTCATCAATGTTAGGTCTTACCAATTCCGGTCTAATTTTCGGAGATTTGGAGGAAATTTATAAAGAAGTTGTTGGTGGAACTTTACTTGACGTCCAAGAGTGCGAATTTCCTCCAAATAATCCTCTCTATCAAGCTGAAACTCTGAATTCAAATCCGAAACTTCCATTTCAAGCATTTTAATTTTTTGTTTGCATTTTGTAATACAATCATTCTTTATATTAATTTCTTGTGTAATAGTGGCATAATGACCCTGCAAAAGGTCGCGATCTTCACATTTCATTCTACTTAAAGCAATAGCTATTGCACTTAAGTGGCGTTGAGCAGCATATTTTCGGGCCATGTGCTGTTCCTTAAGCTTAAAATCATGGATACGTTCACCACCAATTAAAGTGCCCTTTATTAGATCGATGCGACTTCGTGCTTGCAGTTGTATCTCTTCCTTCGACTGAATAGAGGGGTAATTTGTTTTAAACGATACGCTACAATCTTGACCTGATTCTATTATTTGAAATTTTTTTGAATTTAAATTTCTGGATTGTGGTGACTCGCTTGTTTTAATTGTATCATTATTGTTATAAAGGATTTGTTGACTCTCTTGAAGCATTTTTTTCAAATATAATATTTCATTTTGGTACTCCCGAAGTCTTGCATTCTTTGGATCTTCATTAATTGTAGGTTTATTTGAAATATTCTTTGCTCTACTTGCATATCGAAGTGTAGATAAAGTTTCATCATAATTTATGTCTGTTGGTGATATACAAGATATCATAAGAGTTTTTGTATTCCCTCCCAAGGAATCCTAATTAAAAATAACTTAAAGAGTATATAAAAAGGGACAGATATAGGAGTATATTTCTTTTACGTGTTCAATTACCTGGAGTAGACGTGTAAGTTTTGAGTCCCTAAACGGTACATGCTTTGCTTTACCATCAACTAAAGATGAAATAACGTTGCCTAATGCAGAAAGTGATAAGTTTATTTTAGACGCTTCCTTAAGTCGGTCTCCTTGAGCACCAGTCTTATGCTGCTTCTCGGATCCTGCTAGGTCCACTAAACTTAGTTTTCCTTTACGTATTCCTCGAAAGTCATCCTCCGATACCATACTATTAAAAAACGGAGATTGTTCCAAAGTAATAGTAAATATAGTGTGGGATCGTGAGCTATGCTTATTCATTAATGTAGCTGCAGTAACACGATTTGTATTTCCAAAATGTAGCCAATCGTAACATTGGTTTGCATTGACAACAGGTTGCGTGGTAAGCGTTGGGACTGAAACACCAATTCCAGGTATTTCCTTAAGGGAATGATTTATCAAGCTCGTATTTTCATTTTTATTAAGTAAGTCTCGAATACGTTCGTTGTAAATTTCCAAATACGTTACTAATGCCAAATATCTGACATTTGTTGCCATTGATATCGTTTCAAATATGTGATCAAAACATTTGGGAATTATTCCACTCTTGTTGCTAAAAAGTTCGTCGCCCTAATATTAAAAGAAGAAAAGAGGATTCAGGAAATTAATAACCATGTATACTATAAGAAGTTCTGTACTCATTTGTTATTCCTGTAACTGAACCTGTTGTAACCCATTTTAATAATTTCGCCAATTCCAAAATTTGTTCTACCTTGCCCAAATATAATTTTTGATATTTTTAAACTTTAATTACGCTCTCTAAACAACAATGATGAGCTTAGCGGATACATGCATATACAGAGGTGGTCAAAAGTATTTACACAACGTGCTTTTTTTTTAATTGTCAACTTTGATCGCTTATTGCTGCTGCATTTGTACTCAGAAACGAACATAACGGTATTTGTCGTGCTTCTACATCTATACAGAAGCAAACGAAAGAAGAAGTGGAAAAAATAACTGTTCATGGGGGAAAAATAGAAGCATTGAACTGATGCTTGTCTGTTGTCAGAAGTATTTACACACAATTTTTACACGTCAAAATTATTTACACAGTGCAAATTGAAGATTAGTCTTGGATTCGCATTGAGTAAGTGAAGTTCTAGTTGATGTTGATCGCTTAATTAATTAACTTAAACTAACTGTTAACAACTAAATTAATAGATTAAACTAAACATTTAATTTGTAAAATGGCAAAAACAAAGGAGCTATCAGTTGAGCATCGAGCCGAGATTGTCACTAAATTTAAGGCTGGTACTTCTACATCCAAATTAGCTGAGTTGTACAAAATATCACGTAAAACTGTGTACAATTTAGTTAAAAAAAAGGACATACTGGGAAATTTGGAAAATAAAAAGAGAACTGCCCGAAAAGTTGCATTGAACCCAAGAGACTGCAGATACATTATAGGAGTTGTACTAAGTAATCCCACCATAAGTACCGTTTAAATTGTTGCGGCTTCGAAAAATGTAATTGGAAAACATATTAGCGATAGTACACTGCGTCGCAGAATGAAGGAAGTTGACATCAACACCTATGTTGTTCGTGCAGTAGTTGATATTATCCCAAGAAACAAGGAAAAACGTTCAATTTACAACAATTCACAGAATATATTGAAGATATCGAATTAGGAATGCAGCTAACTAGGTTAGGAATCTTTAACCCGAAACTATTAAAACATGATTACTTGAAACAATTAAACTCAGAAAAAATGTTAAAAATAAAAACATCAACTTGGCTTAAAACAGATACAAACGAAATTTTAATTATTTCTCATGTTCCAAGTGAAGTCACAAAAGTTCCAATCTTTCAAGTAGTCCCGTGCCCAGATGAACATAATAATATTCTAACTGAGCAAATATTCGATAAGTTCTATATTTTCAATAATAAAGTATACCATAAGGATACAGAGTTAGTAATATATGACAAATGCATAGTTGGACTAATCAAACAAGAAGAAACTCAGTGTAAATAAGACTCATAAAAATTTTCAGATCAATTACATAGAACCAAATATACTAATTACATGGAATCTACCAGAAACAACTATCAATCAAGATTGCACTAACAACAAAATTGTAATATCAGGAAATAATATTGTAAAGATTAAAAATTGTACAATCCAAATTGATGAATTCATAATTTCAAACAATATAACAGATTTCAAACAAACAATTTACATTACTAATAATGTTACAAAATTAGAACCTATAGAGTATTTACAAACCAAGGAAATAATAAATTCACATGTAAAATACCACAATGTATTCCAAATAATATGTGTGACAACTTTTGTAATTACAACTATAAGCCTAATTCTGTACTCAACATATAAGTTTAAAAATATACCTAAGAAAATAATGATCAAATATTGTAAACCAAAAGAAGAACATCCGCACACATTAACTATTGATAATATTCAATCAGAAAACAATTTAATTCAATCACATAATGTTATGCTATACCCAAATTGTCCAAATTTAGTGACCTGAGGACAGGCCAAATACAAAGGTTGGGGGAGTGACATATCCATAAGTCCCTTAGACTTAAGCACATGCCTACTTATTCAAACACACAACAAGCATACCCAATACTACCCTATACCTCACAATTGTAAATCAGCATACCCCATATTACCCTTTATGCACTCAGCCCCTAGATAAGAATGAACTCGTCAGCAGAATCCCAGAACAAAGCCAAGCGGAAAAACCCCAAGTAATACGAATACAGGATGTTATTTAAACAAATCACCCATTGGTAGAGTAAACATTCTTTGCCTAATTGTCAAGTTCCCACGTTCAAAGTTCGGACTCGCAAACTCGAAAACAAAAGTTTTAAATTTCAAATAAACAAAATCTTAAGAATCTAAGAGCACTTGTATCCAAGAGCGAATGCACTTGAATCCAAGAGAAATGCAGATAACCAAAGCTCTCTCCCTAATCCTAAAAATCCAAAGTCCATATTTGAAAAGCTCGAACCCGAGGCTTGAACGGTAATCAATCTAGATCAAATAAGAGAGTTCAGTTTGAGACTTAAATTAAGAAGGTCGGTGTTCTCCAAAAATAAAGTATTGTAATTATTCAGTTAAATAAAAATTATATTTTTTTGACTTATGGAAATTACCAACATATAATTATATATATATAATAACGAGTTCGCGGTTGCAAGTTTTGAAAAAAATTTTTATTTCAAGATAATAATACAACTTTGAATCGGAGTCAATTCACGTCTTAATGGTATAGTGGATGAATTAGAACTAAATCTGGAGTGTGAGTTGAACGCTTAGCAAACCCTTGGTCGACTTTGTTTATATGAACCTGAATGCTCTCCTCTTTATTTAAATGCGTTGCGCTCCTTAAGAGAGTTGCGCATGGAAAATTACCAGGATTTGTGCTGCGTAAGCTATTTGGTTGCTTAGTGGGAATAACGAATTTCGGCATCGGCGGATGTTTATGTCTATGAATCAATTATTTATGTTAACGCGGCCGAAATTGTTATTGTCGCCACGAGCTTGGGATCTGACTTATGTGTTGGGGTTTGTAAGTTTAAGTGTGTTGCTGGGCAAATGTATTGGGTGGGTGTGATCAAGTATGTACTGTGTGTGTGTGTAACAAAGTGTTTTACTATGGTACATATGCTACTATATATATATATATATATATATGTTTTATATATACTTTATATGGCTGCAAATATCTCATTTACTGTTTCACGTAGAAATCAATAAACTATTTGCAAGGCTATAGAAGCTTAATATAACGGGAAAAATAATTTTTATGTATAAATAATCTGTGATAAGCCGTTTTTAATAAAAGATGTTTGGGTGTTGGATGTTTTATTTATTTATACAATAGCAGCATGGTCTTAACTTTATGTGTGTGTGGCGAACAACCCTTTTTAATATAATATTTTTATTAAATTCTGACAGCAACTTATAAAATAATAAGGAATGAGTGTATATTAAACGTTATTAAAAACCGTTTTGTTGTTTTCAATCTACTAAATCAATCAATCATTAGATGTTTTTAAAGTAATATCGGAAAATGTAAAATAAATGTTAGTTTAGAAAATATCACAGAATAAGGATCCATGTTACTTGAATTACTTTCCAAGCTATAAGCATGCTATATTTCAGTTTGCTTAAGAATTTATCGTTGTACGCTATAATGGTTGGATCCGTTTTAAAACAAACATGTCTTCACTAGGATCTGTATAGAATCCAGTCGGATAAAGCAACTCGGCCTCTTACCCTTACCTGTTCCAGGCTTTTTACGAACAACTTTTACACTTTACACTTTACACTTTACTGATCAAAGTGATCAAAGTTACACAAAGTGCGTACCGCTTACCGTCTACATATGTACATCTTTTGACACTGTACCTGCATTGTGTGAGTTTTTCCACAACCTGTCTGGCCGTAGGCAAAAATGGTTCCATTGTATCCTTCGATAGTACTCTCTACTAATGAATAACACATTTCGTCGTAAATCACTTCAGTATTGGTTTCCATTTTATAAGCACTATCAAAAATGAATTTTTTTTTTTGAGAAATCCGAGCTGATGGATTAGTTACGGAAACTGCAAATCCATTTATTTCAACAATGTTCTGAAATAAAAAGGTTTATAAATTGTCGTTATGTTTTGAAACAAAATTCAAGGAACTGATATCATGACCGCAAAAAAAAAAAAACAAGATGTAAGCATTTATGTTCAAATACAACAAGACTGACTTCCTTTCTACTATTTCATTTATTTTTAGACTGTTCCTTGGTATCTATACGATTTTGGTTAAACTAAAACCGAAGTTATATATTGTAAAAAACTGGTTTATATCGAACTTTAGTATTGTAAACAATGAAAGCAACAGTTTTTTTCAAGTGAGCAGGAAAATCTGTTTCTCATATAGGCCACGAGCGCGTTACCAGCCCAAGTCTGTAGCAGCCACACATACAGGGTGCGTTATGAAAGTAATGCGCATAGTTTCATTGTCACGTAACTACCTGTCGTAGCACGCTCGGACCTGTCTGAAAATTTGGGGCGGAGTCTCTCCTTTCCAACGCGCTCGGTCTCAGTTCGCTCTGAGCAATAGAAGTGGTAGGACGTGTCGTAGAGCGAAGTCATTTTTTCTGTTGTGTCACGGTGCGATGGAGCGTTCGCTGGAACAGCGGTACGCCATAAAGTTTTGTGTGCGACTTGGCAAAAATGCATCGGAAACTTATCAAATGCTTCGAGAGGCCTTTAAGGAGGAGTGCATTTCGAGATCTCAGTGTGGAAGGTGGCACAAGGCCAACAATTCTTCACAGCGTAAAACTCGAACGTTTTTCTGCTCCTCCGTCAACACCTTTGGCACAAGCTTCGCACAGACCTTTCGCATTTGCAAATCCTCCGTCACTATTCCATGTACCCCAAATGTTGACAAGTTTAGGATGTTCCAGCGAACGCTCCATCGCACCGTGACACAACAGAAAAAATGACTTCGCTCTACGACACGTCCTACCACTTCTATTGCTCAGAGCGAACTGAGACCGAGCGCGTTGGAAAGGAGAGACTCCGCCCCAAATTTTCAGACAGGTCCGAGCGTGCTACGACAGGTAGTTACGTGACAATGAAACCATGCGCATTACTTTCATAACGCACCCTGTATAAATAATAAATATCCAGAAAATAGTAAATCAAATCAAAAAATTAAAAAATAGAAATCAAAACATATAACAAAACATATGTATAATTGTTGTGGCACTCGATTTTTTCTTGTCTATTTGGATTTAAAAAAAGTAAACATTATTTTTTTTACTAATTATGGTAAGGAATTAAAATCGGCAACTCAGAATATTTTTTGACGTCTTAGAGATCATTTTTAGCAAAAAATATATATATGTCTCAACTTTAAACAAACCAGTGAAAAAATTCATCTGAAATTTATTTATATATGTATATATAAGCTAATTATACATAAATAAAATGATTTTTGTTGGTCTGGTTAAAATTCAAGGTAGGCTCGGATAAATATTTTGCTCTTGAAATTTTCGTCGAGTAATATAAGGAAATACATAAAATTTTGAGCTTTATTGCTTTGCAATCGAGTCGGATTCTCAAGTATTGATTAAGCTGAGAACGACCTGACATAGGTCAACGCAGTCAATTAAATCAGCAAAGAGCTACCTCACGTACTAATCAAACTGATGACCAGAGAACGACAGGCCAAAAAAATAGTCGTACTGTTGTTTCAGAATTTCATTATTTAGTATATAAAAATGTACGGAATCCGCAGACGTCGTGGTCCTACGATTCTTAAAAGAGGTGAATTTCACTTAAATCCGGCTATTAAATTTAAAGAAATGGAAATAATTGTAAATATTGTTAGGCGTTACAAGACTGGTTTTATATTCACACTGGTGAATATACTGGATTTAGTTGTGATGGAAGAAAAGTGAAATTGCAAAAGTTTTACGTTCCTGGAATTTTGAAACCCCTGTTTTCAGATAACATTATTTAGCGGAACACAGCTTAATTTCAGGCCCACTTTTAAGGTATCATTTTTTATAATATAATTTTTTTTTAAATTACAAATACTTCACTTACATGGGAAACTGTAACCATTTTATTTTTACATTTTTATTGTATAGCCAATTCACATAAAAAAGTTAATAACAATCTTTTGTTTTTTTTCGAAATACTTCCAGGTGAAACTAAGTGTATCCTTATTTTTATACCCAGAGTGTATTTTGATTTTAGTCAGAAGTTACGAATCAATTTGCTTATTAATGAAAAACAAATCCTAGCTTCGTTTTGTTTGATCATAAAGTATCCTTATTCGGAATACACCAGTTTTTTGATATAATGTCGGGATTAATATAATCAAAATCGGATAACAATTACAAGTTTAGCATGGCAGACTAAACTCCAACTTTAGATGGCTCTTATTTTACGTCAATGACTCCCAAAAAAATAAAAAGAAAAAATAAGTCGTTTGGCTGGTTTCCATGCATAAGATTATTTTTTGGTGAATTATTCTGTTTGTTTAACAATTATTTTATACTAAATTATTTTAAAATATTTTTTAGGATTCGATTTTAAAATCATTTTAAAGGTTGTGTTATTAATCGATTAGTCAGTACGAAGTCTACCGGGACGCTAGTACTTTATATGAATTCATATATTTACTGTGTTTTTGAGAGTGACAACATTAATAATCTGAATGCTAAGTCTCCAAGGCATGGAAACTATATGAACACGAAGACATCGCTAGGTCAACGTAGCTAGTTATCCTGACCAAGCATATATATATAGTTTATAGAACTCAATATATATTTCCTTTTACCTGTTTCAACGAATTAATTTTTTTTTAATATTAATGGCAACTGTTTTCGGTTTGTCTTCCATATTTCTAGATATTTATATATTTTATATATTTCATTTATATATATAGGTCATACACCGCAGATATAGAATAACTTAGATTTGTAGTAATGTTTTATGGATATAGTAAAAGTTGGCGGCTCGACAAATAAAGTTACAATACAAGCTTCGCCTTGCGAAATCGATATAATAAATAAAAACAGACATACTTGACATTTTCGTTCTTTTTCACATTGGTTCATCGGTCGACATCGAACAACAACTTTAATATTTTCACTCATTTTACTTCGATGGTCGAAATATGTCTAATATTTTCTCAAAATGTACTAAAAATATTTATAATTGTTTTCAGGATAAAAACCATATATGAAAGCTACTTTTAAATACATTCACATAAAGCTCCGAATTTAAATCATTTTCATACCATGCTTTTGGTAGAGCCGAAGTCTATTGTATCTCATAAGCTCTATCCAAAAGTCTATAATTTAAATTTAATAATATAGTGAAATAAACTATATTAAATTACAATTAAAACAAAATCAAATATATTTTTATGGTATAAAAAATATCTTTAAAACGTACAACGACCAAAATAAAACATGGGCAATATAGCCGCGTTTTAAGCAAGCAGCATAGCGACTGAATAAGGAAGCAATAAATCGACAAAGCTACTTTTGACTACTTTTCAGATTGCAAGGAAGATGACATTATATTATCATTACAATTTTATGTACTTTTTAACCAGAACACTCCACTTGATTGAACGGTTTTTTGGCACCCATAGGCAGACATGGCAAAATCGTTTAGGTAGTTAACCGCTTAAAAATTGATTTAGGGTCGGTAACGTTCTCTGTTGACCATTAAAACGTTGACAATTAAAATGTTTCTTTTTAATCATGTTAAACATGTTCCTTATTATTAATAATAATAATTGCTAAAACAAAAAAAGATAGAATGCTATAATCGAGTTCCCCGACTTTCAGATACCCGTTACACAGATAGTCGAAGTGCAAACGAGAAATTTCAAAGTTTCCTGGAATATCGGTAAAAATTGGTGTAAAAATAATAAAATAGAGAAAAACTTAAAAGTTTTTGTTGTGATTTTTTTCATTTTTGAGTATATCTTGTAAGTTTCTATAGATTTGCCAACAAAATTTTTGCAACGCCCACAAACCGCCCAAAACTGTTACGCCCACATTTTCAAAACATTTTTTATTTTATTAATTTTTCTTTTATCATTTTTTTTCCCACTCCACTTGATTGAACGGTTTTTTGGCACCCATAGGCAGACATGGCAAAATCGTTTAGGTAGTTAACCGCTTAAAAATTGATTTAGGGTCGGTAACGTTCTCTGTTGACCATTAAAACGTTGACAATTAAAATGTTTCTTTTTAATCATGTTAAACATGTTCCTTATTATTAATAATAATAATTGCTAAAACAAAAAAAGATAGAATGCTATAATCGAGTTCCCCGACTTTCAGATACCCGTTACACAGATAGTCGAAGTGCAAACGAGAAATTTCAAAGTTTCCTGGAATATCGGTAAAAATTGGTGTAAAAATAATAAAATAGAGAAAAACTTAAAAGTTTTTGTTGTGATTTTTTTCATTTTTGAGTATATCTTGTAAGTTTCTATAGATTTGCCAACAAAATTTTTGCAACGCCCACAAACCGCCCAAAACTGTTACGCCCACATTTTCAAAACATTTTTTATTTTATTAATTTTTCTTTTATCATTTTTTTTCCCAATTTGTACGTATCGTATTCAGAAAAAAGATTTGAAATTTCTCGTTTGCACTTCCACTAGCTGAGTAACGGGTATCTGATATTCGGGGAATTCGAATATAGCTTTCTATCTTGTTTTTTATTATTTCCGTCCATAGTGATTAATTTAAGCTAAAAACAAAAAAGGTAATTTTAATCCCAACCCAGATGAAGAGTTTGTGGTTTGGTGTTGGCTTGTAAGCACAGAAAACCTTAGAAAACACCATAGCTCTAGTTAACCCAGTGTGAAAAACATTGCGCTTTGCGCAGCATTTAAGCATTTAAAAGGATTTCTGAAAGCTTTAAGTTTTCCGTTTAATATTTGAGCTTCTGTTCCGGCCTCTGTAAACTGAAAAGATTTGAACCTGCGCATGCGTGATTTTAGAATACGACATAAGCCAACCCTCGTGACTTAGTCACATTTCCGCGCACTGCTGTAGACGTCATAGAAAAAGTATTTATTACAGGTACACGGTACCATATTTAAAGCAAAGCGCGTTTATTACACATACGGTCAATTATTTAAGATTTTTTATTTTGCGTATAAAAAAGTAAAAAAAAAAAACTGTTAATTAAACTATTTTGTTTACTCTATAATTTTATATAAAGTAACAAATTATAATAACAATATTTATGATAATTTTTTGTTTTAAATACATTTTTAAACAGTCGAATTTCTCAAATAGTAATATGTAAGTTCATTACTAGAGCTTTAGCGACGTAGTGAATATCTTCCTGCGCATGACTTTAATGTATATATATTTTTTGAAAGAAAACTGTGTATATAGGTACGAAGGCATATACGATTCATTCATAAAATACTTATACAGTTTTCTACAACTTCTTAAAACACCAAAAAATTGTATAAACTTGAAAAAAATACAAAGATCATTCTTGATTTTTGTAATCTTTATCCATACAGTTATAATTAATAAGATATAAAGGTAAAATATATGTATAATTATTTGAGTGTTGTAACAAAATCGGGATTTGACGATTTACCACTATCTACAATACTTCGTTTTTAAACTATGTATCTATATTTTTCTATGAATCCTTAAACAATATTATGTGCTTTTGTGTTTTATACAGTTCTTTATAAAGTTTTAAATAATAATAAAGTGTTCAAAATTATTGCAAATTTTCGTCACATTTACTCCATATACTTTTTAATAAGAATGTTAATAAACTGCAGATGAAGGTAAAATAAATTTGTAATAAGTAAAATTGTGTTCAGAAGTCCGAGTTTTAAAGATTAATGAATGACCTCAATTTTGTATCTATCTAAGTATTTTTGAAACACGATATTTTTCAGCAGGATGACACTTGACTTGTGGATATTCTATAAAACATGGCATCTAATGTGCATTCGTTTTTTTTGTTCTGGGACGAAGAAATACATCTTTCTAAAAATGAAAAATTGCCTAATTGGAAAATATCAAAAGTGCCGGAAAAAGTAAATGAAACATTTATGCGAAAACACGAGCATTTGCACATTTTTAAAGATAGTTGCACCATTAAATAAGTTTTTACAAAGCACCATGCACTTTGAATTGCACATACATAACATTTGTTTCAAAGAAGTTGCGTTGCTATTTTTTGTAAATAAATGCTTCACTTTATTATTAAGTCTACCAATAAACCAATAATCTTCATTATTAGGTAGCTAACAATTTCAAAAAAACTTTAACTGTCATTATGGAATGAAATGAGTTATAATGAAAATATCAAGTTTGTTTGGGTATATTTAGTCGTTAGATTTTGTCAAGCGGATTCCAAGTATTTATGCCCATTTCTCGTAGAGTGAAAGGGTATGTTAGATTCGTTGAAAAGTATGAAACAGGAAGAAGGAAACGTTCCTGACCAAAGTATATATATTCTAGATCAGAAACAATAGCCGAGTCGATTTGACCATGTCCGTCTGTCCGTATGAACGCCTCAATCTCCGGAACTCGGCTCGCAGCTTCCACAGACATAGACGCAGCGCAAGTTTATTTCCCAATATTGCCACGCCAAATTTAACGCCAGCAATCTAATAGCAATTTGAATAATGTTGAGATATTTTTACATTTTTTTTATATTTTGTAAATTTGGACAGATTTCCAAAAAAAAAATGTTTTCCCCGCCCACTTCTACGCCCTCAATCCACCCAAAACTATGACGACCACACTTTTGAAAAATGTTGTGATATTTGCCAAAAACCTTTTTGCTACACCCTTTAACGCTTACCAACCGCCCAAAACTGTCACGTCCACACTTTTAAAAATTTTTTTAGTTTTTTTTTTCATTTTATTATTTTTTTCCCAATTTCTAACAATATTCCAGAAAATTTTGAAATTGTCGTTTGCTCTTCCACTAACTGAGTAACGGGTATCTGATAATCAGAGAACTCGACTTCAGCATTCTATCATGTGAAAAGACATCTATTTTAAGACTTTAAATTGGTATAAAAGGATTTCAATGTACTAATAATAGTTTCCAGTCTTTATCTACATTTATTGAAAAATCTATAGCTCTCTACGCCAATCTGTAAAAATGTTTAATCTAAAAGTAACAAAAAAGCAAACAAGTTTTTATTTTCTTGCAGTAGTTAATTTTTAGTAATAAAACAGAAAATAAAACCAATTAAGACCATAAAATCGAATATAATTTGATAGCTACCTCTGATAGCGGAGCTGTGATTTTTAAACGTGTGGATTCACTGCCTAAAAACCTAACTAAAAGTTTAAATGGGTATACTAAATTCGTTACAAGGTATATACCAAGAAGCGTTTCTGACTACGCTGAGGAAGTTTAATTTATAACGCTGAATCAAATTTCTTTTTATTTTATTTTTAAACTGTTGCGACCAAACTTTTGAAAAATGTTTTGTGCTTTTATTGTCGTTGTCATTTGGCTTCGCAATTCCTTTCGATATGCAAAAAAAAAAGAAAAAATAATAATCTTCATAGCTGTGGTGGTGAACGTTTTGGCGGGTTATGGGCGTTAGAGTCGCCGTGGCAACATTTAGAAACGAACTTGCGGTGTCATTAACGCTGTATACATAAAAACTTTCTAACTGTTATTGTTATTGTTATCGAGGCGTTCATACGGACATGACCAGATCGACTCGTCTAGTGATCCTGATCCATATAGTGACATATCCATAAGTCACTTAGACTTAAGCACATGCCTACTTATTTAAACACACAACAAGCATACCCAATACTACCCTATACCTCACAATTGTAAATCAGCATACCCCATATGCACTCAGCCCCAAGATAAGAATAAAACTATCACCAGAATCCCAGAACCAAGGCCAAGCGGAAAAACCCCAAGTAATACGAATACAGGATGTTATTTAAACAAATCACCCACTGGTAGACTAAACATTCTTTGCCTAATTGTCACGTTCCCACGTTCAAAGTTCGGACTCGCAAACTCGAAAACAAAAGTTTTAAATTTCAAATTTCCTTTGTAATATTTCGGTCAAATAAAAATATATTTTTTTGACATACGGATGTTATGAACGTGTAATTATATATATTATATAATTTATATTGTCGGAAACGCTTCCTGTTATATATTTTTAAACGAATTTAGTGTACCCTTCTTCTCTACGAGTAACGGGTATAAAAAATACAAAAAAAGGTTTTAAGCTAAACGCATAAAAACTAAAATAATTTTTTCAAATATTGACCTTAGGATTCTTAAAATTTAGTTGTAAGTCACGAAGCCCATGGTGATAATTTGAAAAAGATAGAATCTAAAGAAAAGGGACTATGTCTTAATTAGGCTATTTAATATTTTACCTATTGCATGACTTTTAATTATTAAAAAAATAAATATAAAATTACATTATTTCTTTTAAAAAGTCTCTTCCAATTAGCAGAAACGATCCCACATTTTAATACATATCACACGGATGCATTAAAATTAGACTATAATATATGGTTCCGGAATTCTAATATAACAACACCAAAATGCATTGCGGTCGCATATTGGTACGTATATATATCATCAAATAATGAACAACAAATATATATTATTCGGTTTGCACCAGTTTTGCCCCTGCAGAGTTTATATTGATATAAGTCAGAAACGCAGTGTAGAAGAGAAATAAAGTATATATATATACCCAGTTGGAAGTGGAATTATTTAGGAACACGTAGAAAAGTATATACATAAAGGATGTATATAAAGTATATACATATATTCTTGATCAGGATCAATAGCCGAGTCGAACTGGCCATGTACGTCTGTCCGTATGAACACCGCGACCTATAAAAACTAGAAAGCTGGGATTAATCCCGGATTCCAGAGACATAGACGCAGTGCAAGTTTACTTCCGAATGTTGCCACGCCCACTCTAACATCCACAAACCGCACAAAACCTTCACGGCCACACTTTTGAAAAATGTGATATTTTTTCATTTTTTTTATATATTTTGTTAATTTCTACAGATTTGCCAAAAAACTTTTGGCCACGCCCACCTAAACCCACAAACCGCCAAAAACTGTCACGGCCACACTTTTGAAAAATGTTGCAATATTTTTTCACTTTTTAATATACTCGTGTCTTGTAAATAACTATAGATTAGCCAAAAAACTTTTTGGCAAGCCCACTCTTACGCCCACACTTTTAAAAAATGTTTAATTTTTTTTCATTTAATTATTTTTTTTCCAATTTTTACTGATATTCCAGAAAATTTTAAAATTTCTCGTTCGCACTTCTACTAGCTGAGTAACGGGTATCTAATAGTCGGGTAACTCGACTATAGCATTTTATCTTGTTTTTTATACCGAAGTAAAGGTCGGGCGGAAAAAAATTTATTTATCTGATTATGAAAGATTTAAAACAAAAAAATAAGTATGAAAATAATAATACACTAATTTAAAGATAAAGGTATTAGAACAACAAAGTTGACGATAGGAACATTAAAGAATGAGCGTAATTCTTGATTCACATAAAGTTTTGTATATCAAATTATATCATCCCAGATCAAGTATATACAATTTGACGTATTGGTAATTTTGGCAACTATAAGGCTTGGAAACGCAAATTATCCTGGACCACGCAGTCGGGAAAGAAATTTAGGTAATAGCAACGGAGTAAAAACTGAAGAATCATCACATATCGTAAACTCCGGTGGTGTAAGAACAGTTGGTGAAGTGTTTGTGCCAAAAACTTTTTCACTTAACTCACAGGAACCGACATGCGAACAGCTTCGCGCCATGTGGATGTAAGTTTTTTTCTTAATATCTTTCAAAATATAACCATTTTTTCCATGTTTTACATAGTTTTTCAAAAAGGCAATCCCGAGCTGCAGAAATAACTAATGAAATTCCAACATATAGAGATCCCTTTACTTATAATGTTTGGGAGCCTCTTTTGTTGAACTCTCGAATGCTGGGATCGTAAGTGTTTTCTTCCTTATACATTTGTTAGTTTTAAATTAACGCTAAATCCATCTATCTTGTATTATTTTGCTCATAATTTATCATCATAACACTTTATTTAAATGGAACTTCAATGTTTTAGGCAACGTCTAACGTCTATTAGGCAAGGGATACAATACTACCAGCTTCAATATCAGCAACAACTAGCAAGCACTACTGACTGATATACTACATAATTCACACAGAAAAATTTTGTTGGTAAAAATTCATCAATAGGCTTAATTTTACTTATGACCACAGTGCTTGTAGTCTGGAGGATCCTTAAAATGCATTAACATATATTTATCATTTGAAAGTCGATAACTGTAGAAGCATCTGACAGAAAAAATGAAATCAGATGCTACGCCAAAACAAAATTTTTAAATCTTTTTCGCCGGCTTTTCTGTTTGCTTAGTATCCTTAAATCGTTTTATGTGTTCAAAACTCTTGAACCTTTGGGGACACAAACTTTTTCAAAAGTGGGCGTGTCACAATTTTTTTAGACATATCGACAGAAAATTACAATACTAATACAAAATTAATAAATTTCAAAATTTTTTGAAAGTGTGGGAGTAGCAGTTTTTGGCGGTTTGTGTGCGTGAATCCGCGTGCTTAATCTTAACTTGCTTTATATTTGCTGAGATCGATACGTTCATACCGACAGACGCACATGGCCAGATCGACTCGGTTAGTGTGATCAAGAATATATGTACTTTATATGTACTTTATGTTCCTTCTATTTTTTTTAATTCAATATAAAAATAGATTTAACATATTTCGTTGTTAAATGTTATTCTCTTATAAAAGCTAATAGAAACAGTAGCCCGGTTTTACCGGCTTTAAAAATAAATTTAAATAATTGTATATTAATAGCTTTTGGCAGAGTTATCTTATCTTATATAAAAGAGTGTTTCAAAGTTATAAATTAAATTATAATATTTAATGATAAAAAATGTATTTATAAAGTGCAATAAGGGTAAGTGCAAAAGGGATTCTTCTTGCGACTCTTTCCCTCACAAATGCACGCAGCCGCTTCAACAACAAAATTGCTGAGCTAGCCTCAGGATATCTGTTTCGCGATCATGCACTCACCAAGGATCGACGGGTCTCCGGCTCAGCGGTTTCCTTGCCCATCTGATCAATCAGGCATAATGATTTAATGTTTAATTTTAACCCACCTTCCAAAAACTTATCATTGAGCGCGATAGATCACTATCTAGTAGAGGTGTATTTTCACAAAAACGACGGAGCAACGATGCCCAACTATGTATAATATTTGAAGCACAATATTTTATTATAATATATATAAATATTCTAATATTAGAACGTTTATATTTTATTAAATTCATTTAAGGATAAGGATGAGCGCAAGGGAAAGAGCCAGGTCACCTGTTTTTGGCCGTGTTCTCAATCGAGAGCCAAATGCACCACAGCGTATTCCATTTGAGCACCATCAAAGATTGGATGAATTTGGATCAAGCGCTTCTGATTTAAGTCACTCTCGTTATTATGGCGCCGAAACGCGACCACAAACGGGAACTTCTTCCTCAATTCGTAGGTCTAGCAAAAATCGGCATATGGGAATCCCAAATATTACCGGAAATAATCCAAAAGAAAGTAAAAATTCAGTTGCTATACAAGGTAGCTTTCAGAAGCTTAAAGAGCTAATTTGGACTGAGAGGGCCAAGGAATTAATAGATCAACGTCGAGATGAGGAGTTGGCAGCGCGTTCGGCTGCCCTTAAAGAAATTGCTAACGGAAAAAAGTATGTACACTATTAAAAATATAAATTTTTTTATTAATAAATTCCAATCAAACAGCTTACATTCAGATTATCATCATCAAGTCGGAAGCTTATCTGATTCTTTATTAATGGATGAAAATCGAAGTCCTGAAGAAAATAGATACCAAGATAGTGACGCCAATCGGAAGTCAATTCTAAATGATCAACATTTTCAAAGTAACAAAAATAGCCATAGATCTGGTTTCAGAGCAACTACGCGTCGCATTGGAAATACCCCTTACAATAATAAAGAGGTTCAAGCAAATAAAGAACTTAAAAGCTTGTTTTCTGGAAGCAATAGAGCTGCCCGCATTAAAATTCCAGCTACTGAATTTTTATCAGACGATTCCGCAGAAAGCGATCTCTCCGTTGTTGGAATCCCAAGAACATACCCAATAAGAAAATCACACTTCAGAGAGAGAAATCGATCACTTCTAAAAGAGGTAAACCGTTAATTAGAGTTAGGAATTTACACGTTCTTATTCTCCGCTGACTCCCGACTGACTTTCAACTTCTAGAGCTGCCAACTCTTCTCTCTCCAACCAATGCTGCCAACTGCTCGATATATCGCCTGCTTACATGTATTATCAGGATCACTTGCCGAGTCGATCCTGCCACAACCATCTGTCTGTCTGTCTGCATTTGGGGATTTTGATATTCAAATCAAAAAATAAATAATTAAATAATTTAGGAAACACGTTTATTGTAAAAGATGATGTACATAATGTGCATATATAATATATGTATATGTACAAAAGTAAATACAACAAGAGAGCATCCTATAGTCGAGTTCCCCGACTATCAGATACCGGTTACTCAGCTAGTGGAATATCGGAAAAAATTGTAAAAAAAATAATGACATGAAAAAATATTAACAATTTTTCAAAAGTTTATGCGTGACTCTATTGGGCGGTTTGTGGGCGTAGAGTAGGCGTAGCAAAAAGTTTTTTGGCAAATCGATAGAAATTTACAAGACATATAAGATATATAAGACATTGGGCGCTTTGTGGGCATTAAAATGGGCGTCTCGTCTATGTTTCTGGAAGCTGCATGCTTAATAGCTTTTGTAGTTCCTGAGATCTTGACGTTCATACGGATGGTATGATCAAAAATATATATACTTTACATGGCGGAGACGCTTCCTTCTGTCTGTTACATACTTTTCAACGAATCTAGTATACCCTCTTACACTACGGGTAACGAGTATAACTAAACAAAACCAAATTCACATTTTTACGAAATCTTTAAGCACTGAGTTTTCGGTGCACTAAAAGTGTCATATCAACTGTGAGGAAATGACTTTTCTCCCATCCTTATACATTTATCCCATATAGTTTATAGACTAGCACGAATAATGAAAATCTAATAATTTTACTTTTCTGCATTAAAGCCACAAATAAATGGTAATTTTCATCGATTTTTGAGAGGATTACCGTCATGGCCTTCCAAAATGTCTACACAAGAAATAGAAAGCAGTAATTTGTTATCTAAGGAAAATTTGTTAGGCAACAAACTGGATATACTTCAACATCAAAATCATCCGAATGATGATAATTATTTGGCATCTTTAGAAAGCAACGAGCAATTAAAAGTGTTAAATGAACAAAAACGAGCAGCTGATGGATTTGATCTTGGAATCTATGAGTACGATAACTCTAGCCGCTAAATGTTTGTGGAATACATTAGTCTCATTATTATACATTTTAATTACACCTAATAAAAATTTAATAATCTGAATTGTAAATACAGGCGAATGTTAATTTAAATGCCTATTACATTTTTAATATTTTTGGAAGTTACTAGTTTGCAAGAAATTTAAATAACTTCAATTTGGTTCTAGCATGTTATTCCAGTCCAGTTGAAATGAAATCAAAACAATTTCTGGATTATATAAGGAATATAATATGCTACAATTATACAGATATTAAAAATACCCTTCACATATCGAAAAGTATTGCCGGGTAGTTAATTTGTGCCTCCCTAATTTGAGTTAAAACTTGAACGAATTTAATTTTGGTCAACTATTTTATGTTACATCTAAATGGGAAAACTCACCGCACTTTAAAAGTCAAAACTATTTTTTTTTATTTAATAATAGGAAGTGGTGACGATAATTCGATTAAAAAGGCAAACTGACTGTCGACATCAACCATGTTGACGAATCAATTAATGTTACGTTTGGTATCGATTACAATCAAATACAATACAAATTATTGGACTAGTCTGTCAATATCTATCTATTCAGAATTTCGCAAAAAACACAACATAGAAAAAAAAGAAACTTGCACGGAAGTACCTACTTTAAAATTATGTAAAACAAAAGTTTACTATTTATTAACTATAAACATATCAACATCTATAAGTAGGTTTTACTTTTCAAATACATATAGACTTAACTAATATAATAACGACGTGAAGCTCAATCCGGATGTTATTTAAATTCCTGTTCTCGAACTTAAAACGTATAGATAAACTAACGATCTGTATTAAAGTTCATTCAAAATTACACTATTGTAACCAAGAAATCATTAATACGGCATTGTGCGCAAAACGTAAATGTACATCAATACCTGTCGTTATATATAATTATTATACAACATTTTTAAGCTCGTGCCAACAATCGTTAACAATAATGTAGAGTACAGATTTCCTATCTAGTATGACTTGAATTATTCAATCAACCGGTTTGAAATATTGATTTTAGTTTGGCTGGTAAAAATGTTGTATGCAAAAATAAATGTAAAATGTAACATATCGAAATATTATTAATATTATACAACCTAATTATAACTAAATATGTACTTTATTGGTGAGAAGGTGTTTAATCAAAGCACGTATCAGAGCTAGCTTGGATTATTCTGAAAACATGTGGTATTCATATCCAACATTTTTCATTCAGTCATTCCACTCATAGTATTTGAGAGATAATACTTCATAACATAATATAAGCTATAAGAGCTAATAATTTTTGAGTTCATATGCATAACACTATTACATGATTTTTATGTTAAAAAAAAAAGTATAAGAAATTTTAACCAAATTCAATTAATTGGGCAATTTAAAATCCTTTAATTTTTATATATTTCTTTTAATTCATCCCATTAGAGTGTTTCTAAAATATAACAAACTAAAAAAGTTCTGATTTTCTGATACAGTTTGACCCCCTGAATTAGGAAATTACATTCTAAAATTGTACTTTGTTTTTATTTTAATGTTTATATATTTTGTAAAATAACCATAAAAACTATCTTTGGTAAACATTGTTTAAATGGAGATGGCAAACACATGCTGTATTAAACTAAACCTGTACGTGCTTGTATTAAATACATAGAATATTTAATTGTAAGTCCCGTGACAATAATTTAGAATTTTGTAATTACAAAATATAGAAATCAGACAATAGGATGCTTTTTATCAGTAAAAGATTAAGTATATGTCAAAAATTAAATATCATCAAACAAGTCCTGAAGTCTACGCATGGTTGGGGTTTTTAATATTAAAATCATAAAATAAAAAATTATTTAATTTAGGAAACACGTTTATTGTAACATATGATGTACATTATAAAATGTAACAAAATAAAATTATACATACCTTATATTGTAATTCAAGTTGTTTCATGATCTTCTAGAAACTGTTTTTGCTATGAAAGATGGTTATATAACTTCGGTCAGAAGACTTTAATACGGTTACCACCCTGCTCCAATATTTACATGCGCACTGGGAATAATTATAATTGATTTTACTAATTCGATTGTGATTTGTTTACTAATTATTATATTGGTTTTTTGGAGTTTGTTTGGAAGAAGTAATTATTCTTTAACATAGAACGATCGAATTTTTTCCGTACTAGGGTACGAGGTTGTTATATTATGCAGGCTTCAGTGGTAAACTACGGGCATCAGACCCTGCAGTTCCACAACTCAACAATATTAAAAACCAATATAGAGCAAAACCATTTAGCAGTGTTCTGCACAAATAGCTGATTTCAATCAGACTGTTTTATTAAGTTTTAAGAACCAGCATCCAATTTTCGTAACCAGACATTGCTAACTTTTATTTATTTTTTCCCAAACTTTTGAAAAATTCCTAATACACAAAGCCTTATAAACACTATTTATTAACAAAATAAGATTAATAAAATGTTGTAAAGAATAATTAAACCAAAACCTACAATTTAGAAAAATTAAAACTAAAATATTTTCATGATTTCAAATGGTTCGCCTCATCTCGAAAGCGAAAAGATTAGTTTTTGAAATCGATTTAAAAACTATATTGGGTGAACAACTTATGTTTCACTTTCGAATCACAAAGTCATCGTAGCGCCGCATTCAAATTCGAAACCAAAACAAATACATTTCGGCAGCTTTTAGAAGCCATGCATTTTGTTGGCCTACATCATACCTGACCCGTCGAACATCTGGAGGGAGCAACCTCCTAGCGGTATTTTGCTGGTACCGACTAAACTTTTCTTTCAAAAGTATGTCAAGCGCAAAAAAAAAATTTTGCAGAAGGAGAAAAACTCCCAAGTACATGAACTGCAACGACATAGATGTAAGGTTAAAGTCCTGCCCCGTGGGCGACTTTGGGGAAGGACTTCCTATTAGGATTATACCCATCCACAATTACTTAAAGCATAGTTCCAGCGAAACAATGACGAATTGGCTGATGAGTTTTGGTTTATTAAATTGGTTTTATTAGCTTTAGGGTATTTGACAATTAGGTAGCTAGCTCCCGAGTAGGTAAAACCGGAATGAATTTAATTATTCTATTAAAGAGCGGCCATCCATCGCCTTGGTCCCGGTCCCGCTCGGTAAACGATCTACCGATGTCAGCAATTCTCCAATTGGTGCAACGGTGGGACGCGGTGCGGTTTAGCTTTCGGTCAGTGGTTGCCAGTGTGCAATGTTGTCCACGCTGCAGTTCTTCGGTTGGCCTACGAGATTGGTAAGTGGGCGCAGTAGGGAAGAGCATTTTGCTAAGCGTTCGTCTTCGGGTGGCTCCCGAGGGTGGTAAGGGGGCTCGCAGTAGAAAAGAGCATTCTGATGGGTGTTACCTTCTGCACATCATCATATCATATATACATACAATAAACAAATATAAGCAGATAATCTGAGTTGTCATATAATTCTAGCCTTAACATCCGCAGATTATTCAGAAACGAATTCGTAAACTTCGAGAACTTGTCGATGCACTTTTAGTAACGATAAAGGACTCCCTGGCTTTCCAAAGTTTCAACTTTCCATTAAAGTTCATATTTTCTAGCGCTAGTTTCAGCGATTGGTAATCAGTGTATATATCGACACTTCGCCGTACATCTGCTCGAAGGTCATAATTTTCTTCAGGTGGGTTAGTGCAATAAACATAGGCACATAGGCCGATATTTCTTTTCATCAATCTGAGAAAAAACGGTTTCGATCACGAAATTTGAGGAATCGTTGGACAGGTTGGCTTGGAATCAAACATTTTCCAATGTCTATCATAATCTTATCAAAGACATTAGAATAACAAGATTCTTAATCAGGATCAATAGCCGAGTCGAACTGGCCATGCCCGTCTGTCCGGCTGTATGAACATCGAGATTTCAGGAATTTAAAAGCTATAAAGATTATATGATATAAAGCATGCAGATTTTAGAGACATAAACGCTACAACGAAAATGTTTTTATATTTTATATTATTTTCTTAGGATTTTTTTAAATTTTAAAATTAAAAAAAAATTGTAAAACTTTTTCCGACGCTTAGCTTATTTGACACTGACTTCGTGTGCGCGACGCGCTGAAAAATCCGATTGGTAAGGTTAGCCCAAACTGTGTCGTTCAGCGCACCTATGAGTGGAAAATCTTTGCTGACTTCTATATATAATTTTTAAAAAATTATGGTTCCCTGATTCAACAAAACAAAGGGTACGAACATTTCGCTTATCAGCATAGTAGCGTAAGGCTAAGATCCTTTAATTTATAAGAGCAGAGTATCAGAATCAAACCTAACCTATGGAAGCCATATGATATACATAGTAGTTCAATTTTTAGTAGTTTTCAATTTAAAACAGAAGTTTTATATTGCCAAAAACTGGTGTATATCGAATTGGAAAGTTTTATAATCAAAACCAACAACCTAGTTCTCTAGTTTTTGATCATAAAGTTTTATGATTCTGTATAATTCTGTTTTTGACAATATAAAAGATATTTAAAAGCAGTCAAATATAGTCGTTAAATTAATAAAATAAGTAATATAGACAAAATCAATTTTAAAAGTGTTTGTTGATTTTGGGCGGTAAACTTTAACCACCATATAGTGGACTTGGCAATCGTCTCCGTTTCTACAATCCATATTTTCAAGCCGAAGCTAGCTTTCATTCAGGTAAAAAATAAAACATGTCTTAAATTACATATTGATTCTATAGTATAATTTCATTTCAAATTGTAGAAAAACTCTACTATAGTAGCACGATCAAATTTAATTAAAATAATTATAGTGAACGCCCACATTTGACGAGCTTATATTACTCGGAACGTATGTTGGTCCAGAAGAACATTTAAGGCAATTCCGTTTTCGCGGCCTATGTCTTGATTTTGATCCATGGCAGTGCATTGCAAAACGAAGTTCCTCCGCCATTTCTGAGCACAGAGATTGATTTTCTGTATTTAAATTTTTTCTTGAATTCCAGCAAAACTCAAAAATGGCCACCACAACTGCAAGCGCAAGTCCACAAAGGAGAACAACAAATACGCCACCTAGAATACGGTGTTGAGCATTTTTTTATATATAAAGTAAAATATTATTATACCAATATTTTCTACTCCAAGTGCATTGGCTTTGGACTCCTTGCTCTTATCGTCTCTGTTGCAAACGTCACCTGTATTTTTCCACCATTTGTCATATAATATTTGAATAATTCCCTTCTCTTGTAGCTCCAAAATAGCAAGTGAAATTTTATCTCTCCAAGGAGAGCCCTTAGGCGTGGCAATGCCATAACCTTTAGAATCCAGCAGGCCTCCTATTTGAGTCAAATTACAATCACGTTGAACAGCATAGTCCAGCATTGTAGATTCCATCAAAAAAGCATAGCTTCCTTCCATTACCCGTTTAATTCCGTCATCATAGGTTTTAACAAATACAGTTGTTTTTCGGTTTTCCATATAACGCCACATTTTTTGATATATACCAATTTTTGAATCCTTAAATAGAAATACAATTTTTATTCAAAGTATTTAACATATATATAAAAGTGCCTTTAAATATCGTCGGATATGAATATAAAGTGGTTTGTTTTCAGAACATATGTTTTTTTTATTCTATTATATTTCTTCGTTCGTTTCTATAAACAGCTAGGCGACGGTCAAAAGTATTTTCAGAAAATTAATTCGGAATCGACTGACTGATATTGGCTAAAACATATAAATATCCATTGCAAAAGGTATTACATATTTATTCATTTGTATTATATTTTACAATCAACGAAAAAAATGTTTTATAGTTTGCAACTGTATAAATATTTTTAAATTTTGCACCGATAAATGTTAAAATTCAACTAGTAACCTAGCACCAAAATTAAGTGTTATTTAATTGGAAATATTTGGTTACCAATTTCGTATTAATCAATAATAACTTTTAATTCGTATTAATGAGGGATAAATTTCGCTTTCTATATCCTTGCAGAAGGTATGTTTGCAACGTAATAAAGGATCAAAGGCAAAGATCAGCAGTCGATGCCACAGTCCGTCAGTCAACAAACTACATATTTTTTTTAATTATGTGTGTGGCAGTTTTGGCCGGCTACTTTACTAAGCACAAGTTTCTTCCTTTATATTTTGTATGAAAGATTTCAGATTTAGATTTAGTTTATATCTTAATAATTTCGGTCAACTGGTGTATATAGACGGTTTCACAAATAATGACGGCTTATGATCGGTCTAGGTCGGATCAGTCTAAAATGTAATGGTGATCGGTGTACTCAAGCTTGTATTGAAAATCGGATCGGTCAAACCTATAAATAACCTTCGCATATTGTAATTTCTTGTCTAAGAGTTTTACAAAGTTTTAAAATAATCATGTAATACCTGTATTTCTATACTCCGTATTTGGAATGACAAGATAATGACAAGATAAGTTCGACTCAGATAGTAATATAAATACATAATATAAATACATAAATACCTTATAAATACCTTATACCTTATCTACCAGTGTCACAATTTTACTTTACACGCTACGAGTGTAGTAATTATTAAATTACGTGACTTAAGAAATTATGATGTTATGCAAATAAACATTAAAATGATTATGTATTTCGTTTAAAATATTTACCCTAAATACCTTATAGCTTATCCACCAGTGTCACAATTTTACTTTACACGCTAAGAGTGTAGTAATTATTAAATTACGTGACTTAAGAAATTATGATGTTATGCAAATAAACATTAAAATGATTATGTATTTCGTTTAAAATATTTACCCTAAAAAATGTCATTGTAGATCCACCTTCCAAAGTTCCATATGATATTTCTGTTTGCTCTGCCAAATCTGAAGCGCTTTCTATTGGTGAAATCATCCGTTCAACAGTTAAAAATGCAGCTAAGTTGGCAGTGTATGAAGATATTATGATTAGACAAAAAAAGAACCAGCATCCGCCAACAATACGCGTCGAGGTTGCCTAAAAAAAAGTATTAGAATTGAAAGCGTCTGTAAATATAGTTAGAGTCAGGAGAATATGGTATTTTTCAGTGTCGCGAAAAGTTTACCCTTTTACTCTACTCAACTGGTATACATCTACCATTATGGCTATCTGATATTTTAACCCCATGTAACTAGGTAAATTATATATTCATATTGATTTTGTATACCCATTACTACTAGAGAAAAAGGGTAGGTTCGTTAAAAAGTATGTAACAGGTAGAAGGAAGCGTTTCCGACCCTATCTCGGAAACTACGCTAGAACGTTAAGAGCACCCATGCAGATTCTAATAACAGCTACGCTGCGCAAGTTTGTTTCATTGCCACACTCACTAAACCCCACACTTTTACAAAAAAATTGTCCAATTTTCTTAATCTGATATATTCTTGATCAGGATCACTATTTGAGTCGATCGGGCCATGTCCGGTTGCCTATACGTCCGTCTGTTCGCCAGTCTGCTCGTATAAACCGATCGATATCAGGAACTGAAATTGAGATTTGACATGCAGATTACAGAATCATCCTGTTGTATCCTGATGCCCACGAAGTCAAAATTTGACAAATATACATGTTACGTGCGAAATACTACTGCTTTGAAAATCTAAGCATTCGGACAAACACACATGGCTAGATCAACTCGGCTGGTAAAAAAAAAATTATAATTCATAGAGTTGGAAACACTGTCTCTAAACACTGTCTAAATAACTTTTAACTAATCTAATCCAAGGGCGGTACACTGTACGAATAACGGCTTTAAAAATATAAGCATCAAAGATACATAGCAATCAAAATGTAACTTTTTTTAAAAGTAATATAGTTTCTGTAATATAGTTTTGTGAAGTTTTACAAAGGTGTTCAAAATGATTTACATAATACATCAAATGCATTTTGTGTAACTAATTTTGACCACCTCTGTATAAAATAACTTTTATTTTTGTTTTCCAATTGGGATTTCTCTTTGTTACTCTTTATGGAGTGCTTTTTGGATGTAAGTGAATGGTCGTACCCTAGGATATAAGTCAGAACCTTGTTGCATAAGAGCGCCAATGGCAAACCAAAAACTATTTTTTAAAGTAAAATTGTTTTGGATTCGAACTAAGTCCACTGTATTATCATCCGAGTCTTCTTCATTAACATCATTAGGTAGTGGTAAAGGTAAAGTACCGTGATCACAAGTAGTATCATCATATTCAACATAATTGGTAGAATTTTTTATTTTGCAGTATGTACTTAAATATATTTCATCATTATTTGACATTTTTTGTTTGTTTATTAACTCCAGTTGTTCGTCAAAGCCATTTACTTTTTGAATTTCGCGCAATATATGGTCACAAGCCATTGAACATGGTGGCTTTGAATTAACCCATTCGATCGGTGATAATCGAGCAACAATCCAAATGGAGATCGATACAAAAATGTATCCAAAAGCAATATAAAACCAAATTTCAATAGCGAATGGAGCAATGAATGAGAAAAATTTCGTTTGAGCTCGGTCTGAAATCTGAAATATAGCAAATATTAATTTTATTATACTTTTAAAAACGCGATCAATTTAAATAAACCTTTAAGTAAGTTATTTTAATCTTATAATAAAAGGATCTTTACACATATGACGTATTTATGTATACCTTCGGATTAAGTCCAGATCCTTGGCGTAAGAATGTTCCTGTTATAAACCAAAAACTGTTTGATATAGAAAACTGATTTTCCACTATATCCGTATCCTTGTAGCATGGATGGGGGTTTTTCCACTCATATGGAGAAAATCGAGCCATTACAAAGAGCGCGAAAGATACTAATATGTATGCAGCTAGCACATAAAGCCATATCTCGATTGCCAAAGGGTTCATAAAGGAGAACAGTCGTGTGGGTTGACTTGTCGGCACCTATTAAATTTGTCCACATATATGTAGGGAATTTATATATTTGATACTACAATTTTTAAATTTACGTAACTACACAAAGAAAAGTAAAAAGCATACAAATTTGCTATTAGGCTTACCTTGAATAATATACCAATGCCCAAGTTCATAAATGGTTTTGTAAAGTCGATAACACTTTCCCGAGCGTAATTAATTGTCATTGAGGCTACAGCAAGATCAGCGCGCTAAGAAGTATTCATTTAATAATTATAAAATATTTTTAAAAAGTAAATAATGTCAATCGTGGAATAAATATAATTTAATGTTTATACTTGCCCTTTCCATTAATTCCTGCACTATTCCATTCCATGAATTAGTCTCTGGTATGTAAACACCATACATATTATCGGGAACTAATTCAATTTTATATTGAAACCCAACTTGTGTGGCGATCGCTTTCAAAAGATCAATACAAAATCCTTCAAACCTTATATTTCCAGTAAGATTTTTGTCTTCTTTAACCATAACATACGGGCGCTCCTAAAAAATTGTAACAATTACTAAGGCAATTGATATTTCGAGTGTCAAAAAAAAGCATTGCCTTTACTCGACTTGGAAGATAAGCAACTCTCACACTTTCTGATTAGAAAAAGCATACACAAAACTTTAATATTAAGAGTTTAGGACGGAAGACGGCAGTTCACAGGAAAGAGTGCGAAGGGACTATATACATGAAAAGTCCAGTTTCTCTACTATCAGATACCCGTTTCTCAGCAAGTGGGAGTGCGAGCCAGAAATTGTAACATTTTGGTTGCAAATCGATAGATAGAAATAAACATAAATACATAAAATTAACAAGAAAAATAATAAAATAAACAATAAAAACAATTTTTAAAATCTCATAGGGACAGATCGAAGGAGGACATACATGTCCAGATCGACTCATGTGGTCCTGATCCTAAATTGAGATGTATAATTTTAAAACTATGTGGTGATAGTCCATATAAACCCCTTTAACCTGTCCTTGATCATTTGTGCCACTTTTAGGGATCACTATTAAATAATTACTGGGCGTAGGCAGCATAATAGCTGCTATGGGAAGTGGCTATGTTCTTGTTCGTCGTGATTCCTGTCGTCCGTAAGCTCATAGCCACTTTCATGTGTGGAGATCATTACATTGCGGGGAATAATTTGCGTCGCGGCTACTGACACGTATCAACGTCCTTACTTAATTCGCGTGCGATTACATGATCTCCACATATGTAGATTATGTCATAGTTTTTCATAATAATGTTTTCTTATTCTTATTCTTTTTTAAAATCTGTAATTAGTACCAGGATATAATATTTAATAATCTTTGGAATTTTAGAAATTATTAACTAAAAATTTTTCAATATTCGTATTAAAATTTAAACTGATTTTATTACGAAAATTTGAAAAATTTTAGTTTTGTCAGAAAAAGGGGAAGTATTTGAAATATTTACCAAACTTACATAAAAATTAATTAAAACATACATTGACAGGTCTCGGAAATGTATTTTTAAAAATAATGGCTTTCATGGGACTATCAGACACCAGTACTCAGCTAAAGAGAGTGCGATGGAGATGGAATTGACTGATTTCTATCATTTATGATGTTTAGCTGAATGTTGACTCAACAAATATACATATACCCGCAAGAAAAAGTCTCTACCATGTCTCCCCACAGTTTTGTAATTTGTAGGTATCAGAGTGAATTTAAATTTAAAAAATAATAATTTTAATTAATAGAAAATTATTAATAGCAAATCGGAAGACTAGTAATAGAATGCAAAGAAATCATAACATTAATCAAAAGATGAGCCAAATGTGCCGTAAAGCCAGTATCAACCACTTCTTACATTTTTTTAAGATATGAATTAAGTAAGTATCAATAAAAGTTGTTGTTTTTAAAGCTCACCTCTCTAGTCATAACAACCAATGTTATATTTGCGATATTTGAATCGTAGAAAGCCGTTGGATCCGAAATGTTTACGCCACCGTCGGGTTGCCAATATCCAACTTTTTGTATTTTTTCTTGCTTTAGTTTAAGAATATCAAGTTTAAATATGTTTCGCCGACCTTCCACAAAATTGACATTGCCAGTCAAACCGTCTGTGATGGCCTGAAGCACATAAAATGAATATTGATATTAGATTTAACAAACAACACTTTGTCTAGATGAAGTTTTATTTGTGTCCACTTTAGAAATTAATCACGAAAGAAAGATTTAAGTCCTCAGAACATTGTATGTTCTATGACGGGCAACGCAAGGAAACTGCTATATAGAGTCCGACTATAAACATGCGGTTTTTTAAGCAGCCCGTACACGTAGTTACGAAGCGCACTAGGAAAGTATATATACTCGAAGTAATGAGTATATAATGTGTTAATATATTATCACGGGAAATACCCCAATGAAAAAGTAGCGGGAACAGAGCTAAAAATACATTTTATACTGCCATATGTGCCGAACCATTAAAGTTAGGGACTGAAACACAAACAAAACAGGTAAAAAAACAATGACGTTATTAACATACAAGAGTTAAAGAAAAAAAAAAAAAATACTCCATCTAAAATTACCTCTTTCAGCACGTATTAAAGAAAAGTAAAGGAGGCAAAAATATTTTGATAAAGCATACCAAGTGAGTTTTTAATGCATTTATTTTTAAAGTGGCGTAGCTAAATCGATGTTGGCCTATGGATGTGGGATACGCTACTACTGAGACAAAGACTACCAGAACTGGTCTAACATACTGATCCCCTGCCTATCCCTCTCTTCTCTCGATAGTTCTAAGTTTAAAGTTGTACTTGACTAGATGTTACCTATGTAGTTGCAACGTGAGCAAAGTGGTACCACACCGCCCTACTCCCGCAAATTACAAAAATATGTGTGTTATATCTGCCAGATTCGGTTTTTGGTTCTCACAAAAGGTTACCTAGACTTACATATAGATATGTGTTTTTGAACGAAATACCAAAAACTTAAAATAAGCATATATGCATACCTTCTATGTAGATAAAACAAGTTGTGTTTATTTGAAAATTCGTACAGTCATCAACCCATTAAGGTTATTTCATAAACATTATTTGCGTTAATGCATCCATTAATATAGTCATGTATAACCACACACAACCTTCGTTTTCGTTAAACCCTTTTTACTTGACAAAGAGTCGATGGAGAAGTGTTTTTGAGCAATTCAATGTTCATCCTACGGACTACACCGAAGTCGTATCTGAAGGTATCGATCGACTTATTTGGGGTACAGAAGTGTAGACCCGAAAAGCGACTATAAACGCGTACATCTAGCTGGACGAATAAATCTCTGCTTGGAAGGCCCACTCCCAATCTTCCACATAAGTATAATTTACTCATTTATTACCCCTTATTAAATCATATTTCTTAAAGAGCGCTGTTAATCTTCATATACGTACTGCATTTATTTGGTTATACAATGAAATTCCATCATTCCAGGTTTGATCGGAGGTGCAGGAGAGGTTTTTGATATAAAGATTTTGACGATTATCTAAATTTAGAAAGTGTAATCCAGTCGCAAACGCGTACACCGAGTCAAACATTAATGCGGACTCTGTCTAAAAATTATTAAAATTAAAAAAAGTTATATTGTTGGAGTATTAGGCGTGTAGGCGTGTCATAACACCCAGTGTCATAAGACCCACGGGCGCTATTACTTTTGTACGGGTCAAAAAGTCCGCTTCGAAAATGTTATAGCGCCCATGGGCTTAATGACACTATTAAACTGCGTTATAACGCCAATGAGTAATATAACACTCTTAAAAGTGTCATAATTCCCACAATTTCTTAAAACTTGCAAAGCATACCAAAGCAAACAGTTAGGATAAAAAAAGGATCAATAAAATAAAATTTCCGTTCCATTTTTGTTTTTAGAATTCCTGCCCTTAAAACGCAGACAAGAATGTATTTCAAATTAAAAACTTTAATCGGGCTCGTGGCGTTATGTTATGCACCCAATTATAATAATTGCTTAATGAGTATTAGTTAAAAGCGTTATAACACAAATATTCTTGTGTGGGCGTTGTGACACTGAGTATTAAGATACTTGGATTTCTTACCTGTATATAAGGAATTCCATTTATAATTTCCAATCCATTGTGTTGTAATTTCTGCATTTGATTTATTACTTCGAGATATCTTTTGCTATCGACATCAACAAGGCGAAATGCAGTTATATTTACGCTGTTATATCTGAAATCTTCCAGATCATATGTCTCCAAGTCCTGTACAAAATTATGAACCATGTTGCAATTAATAGATTGTCTTGGGTCCAGCGTTATTAATTTACTGTTTTACTTACGAATGTTGTAAACATATAATGGTAACGATGGTCATTCATTTGTAGTTGTAAAATCTAGAAATAGAATTTTTTTTATTTTTTAAGTGAAAAGATTGTTACATATGTCAATTTGCTAATATCTCCTTTAAAATAATACTACAAATTATTTGAAATATGCATTGAAACTTTCATGTTATGGTATGTATAACACGTATAACATGACCAAATAAATGTTTACGATCTTTTGGCGTTAAAAATACCGAAAATTATGTCCTATTTATCCGAATCCTTGCTTTAGGGAACATTTTCGTGGGAGTAATTTTAATCTCTGATTTATCTGCCCATATTACAGAGAAATAGTAGAGATAAATTTCTAAATATATTAATAAATCGGGTATATTTTAACACCGAAAAGATATTCTGTTTGTGTTGGTTAAATTAATATCCCTCTACATAATATATGTATGTATGTAACTAATACGTTTACACCATTTTCCTGATAATGTTAATGTGTGACCGTTACTGTTTCACTTGGGATTCTACTTGTTACATACTTTTCAAATACTCTAGGAGAGCCCTTAACTGTACTAGCGTAACGATTACGTAAAATTATGTAAGGTTTCTAAAATAATAAATTAAACGTATAATGCCTTGTAGAATTAGCATCAGAAACTGTTCTTACGGATCTAAAAAACGTTTTTATGTGAGATGGATTTGTATCCACTATAATTTTGTAAATTTCCTTTTGACGTATCGCTCGTAGGACTTGACGATATGAATCCGGACTGGCTTGCCTTATATACATTTCCGCTTTTGCCTCAGTAGATGAGTGCATCAAATTAAATAGACCTAAAAATAAGAATGTAAAAATATTTTCGATAAATAGTTTTGCTGTTTGGTGACATATTTATATGGCTGTTTGGACATATATATAAAATATATATTTAAACAACGAATTTAGCAGTATACAAAAGGGTACGATTAAGTCGAGTTCCTCGTCGATACCCACTACTCAAATAGTGGGAGTGCCAAGAAATAATTATAATTCCTTTTGGCAAATCGACAGAAATTGGCAAGGCAAACAATGAAAAATATATATAGTGGCATATCCGTAAGTCCCTTAGACTTAAGTACATGCCTACTTATTTACACATACAACAAGCATACCCAATACTACCCTACACCTCACAATTGTAAATCAGCATACCCCATACTACCCTTTATGTACTCAGCCCCTAGATAAGAATAAAACTATGACCAGAATCCCAGAACCAACGCCAAGCGGAAAAACCCCAAGTAATACGAATACAGGATTTTATTTACACAAATCACCCACTGGTAGACTAAACATTCTTTGCCTAATTGTCACGTTCCCACGTTCAAAGTTCGGACTCGCAAACTCGAAAACGAAAGTTTTAAGATTCAAATAAACAAAATCTTAAGAATCTAAGAGCACTTGTATCCAAGAGCGAATGCACTTGAATCCAAGAGAAATGTAGATAACTCCAAAGCTCTCTCTAAAATCCTAGAATCCAAAGTCCATATCTGAAAAGCTCGAACCCGAGGCTTGAACGTCAATCAATCTAGATCATTAAGTTGAGTTAAGAAGAGTTGAGAAGAACAAGAAGATCCTACAGTACATACTATTAAAGGGGCAATAAAACTAAAGAAGTTTTCTTTCTTTTCTAGGTTCAAAAGCCTTTAGGTTTTTCTATGAAGAGAAGAAGGGCGAGACCGCACTTAAATGCCTCGACCCAAAACCAAAAATAGATTTTTCTCCAGTCGATGAAATCAATTCAAAGAAGCAAAAGGTTAAGACCGCACCTGAGTGCCTTAAACCAATACTTTAAGTTAAACAACAAAAGAAAGAGACCGCATTTCAAAAATGCCTCAGTTCAAAAGTTGTTAATGACACAGTGGATAATGATGTAACACATCTCAACTCCATGTCCGTTGACAACGATATAGTCAACTTCGCGATTAACAGCGAGTTACGCGAATGCAATGAATATAGATTAGAACATCTAAATGCAGAGAAGCTGAGTGTTTAAAGAAGGTCCTATACGATTATAGAGACATTCAGTACAAAGAGGGCGAAAATTTGACCTTCACAAGTACCATTAAATATGTCATATGGCAGCCGCCTCTGGGATGAAAAAGTTTAGGTTGGTAGTCGATTACAGAAATCTCAATGAGATAACTGTTAATGACAAATTTCCCATTCCTCGAATGGATGAAATATTGGATAAACTAGGAAGATGCCAATACTTTACAACATTTGATTTATGGGCATTATGAATACACACGTATGCCCTTTGGGCTGAAAAATGCCCCCGCAACATTTCAAAGATGTATGAGTAATCTCTTGGAAGACTTGATCTACAAGGATTGTTTAGTTTATTTGGATGATATAATTATTTACTCCACTTCATTGGAGGAACACATTTTATCTCTAAAGAAAGTCTTTGAGAAATTGAGAGACGCCAATTTGAAACTGCAGCTAGACAAATGTGAATTCATAAAAAAAGAAACTGAATTCCTGGGTCACATCGTCACAACAGACGGCATAATCCAAATAAAACAAATGCAATCACAAATTTCCCATTAGCTAAGATGCCCAAACAAATAAAATTATTTCTGGGATTATGTGGATTCTATCGCAAATTTATTCCTAACTTTGCCAAGGTAGTTAAGCCCATGACCCTTAAGTTGAAAAAAGGCGCTGTAATTGACACCAAATGCAAAGACTATGTAGAATCATTTGAAAGGCTAAAAGTTTTGATAACCTCAGATCCGATCTACCCGGATTTCTCAAAACCCTTTTCTCTGACAACTGACGCGAGTAATATTGCTATCGGTGCAGTTTTATCTCAGAACCATAAGCCCGTTTGTTATGCCAGCAGAACGTTAAACGAACACGAAATAAACTATGCTACTATTGAGAAAGAATTGTTAGCTATAGTTTGGGCAACAAAATATTTCAGGTCATACCTATTTGGCAGGCCATTCGAAATAATGAGTGACCACAAACCATTGGTGTGGCTCAAAATATCAAAGAGCCGAATATGAAATTAAACGAATTCGACTATAAAATAAAATACCTTCCAGGCAAAGAAAACTATGTTGTGGATGCTCCTTTCCCGCACAAAGATAGAAGAAGTTATTGTTGGCGAAATTGCAAGCAGCGCAGACGCGACAATACATAGTGCCAATGAAGATAATTTAAACTATATATCCATAACAGAAAGACCAAAAGGCATTCACTGAAATCATAAGCCCTAACAATTTCGCAAAACTATTGAGATGTACGAGGAAATTAATTGATATATTAACATACGCCGAATTTAAAAACTTAATTCTAAAGAAACATAAGGAATTATTACATACCGGTATAGAAAAACCATTAATTGGTTTAAGGAAGAATACTATTACCCGGATAGTCAAAAACTAATCCAAAATATTATCAACGAATGTGAAATTTGTAACATAGCGAAAACAGAACATAGAAACACAAAGTTGAAATATGAAACAACACCGGAAATATTGAATGCGAGGGAAAAATACGTAATAGATTTTTATCTCACAGGGAATCAAATCTTCCTATCTTGCATCATTAGTCGAAGTAAAGAGTAGAGATTGGCTAGAAGCAAAAAGAGCCATAATGAAAATATTCAACGATATGGGAAAACCCCAAGAGATAAAGGCAGACAAAGACTCAGCTTTTATGTGCATAGCTTTGCTGAATTGGTTAACATCTGAAGGCGTAAAAATTTCCGTCACAACTAGCAAAAACTGTGTTTCTGACATAGAAAGATTTCACAAGACTGTAAATGAAAAGTTGAGAATTATTGGTAGCGAACAAAATATAGAAGACAGATGTACGAAATTCGAAGCAATCCTATTTGTCTACAACCACAAAACTAAACATAACACTACCAAAAGAACTCCGGCAGACATCTTTCTATACGGAGGCAGCCAAGACTTCAAAAGTACAACAAAACAAAATTGACAAAATCGAACAACTTGATAAGAAAAGACATGACTTCAAAGTTGACACAAATTATAAGCAAACTCCACTCGTGAAAAGTAAAATAACCAATCCATTTAGGAAGACAGGAAGGATTGAACAGGTGGATGATAAACATTTTGAGGAAACTAACCGCAGCAGAAAAATCGTGAATTATAAATCTAAATTCAAGAAACAAAAGAAGATTAATAAGAGCAAAACGATAATTTCAGACAACACGAAGAGAGTTAAGCGATGCCACATACTTCCCATATTATTTATCTGTATGATACCCCTTATCACCATGGCCCAATCCAGTAATATAGAAGTAAACCCACTCAGTGCTAAGAATGGATACCTTATATTCCAAACAGGAACAATAGAGATTCCGATAAGCTACGAATACCATTTCTTTCAATGCTAACATTCGAGAACCTAGTAGAAGAGGCAAAGGTTTTTCAAAATCTACCCCAAATACAATATCTAGTTGAGAAACTAAAACGGGAAATCAATGGACTAAGAATTATTATAGACGTAATCAACAGCGGAATAGACATTATCAATAAGCTCAAAGTAGAGAAAGAAAAGAATCAACAGATCGCGATATTTTCAATTTACAACAATTCACAGAATATATAGAGGATATCGAATTAGGAATGCAGCTAACTAGACTAGGAATCTTTAACCCGAAACTATTAAAACATGATTATTTGAAACAATTAAACTCAGAAAAAATGTTAAAGATAAAAACATCAACTTGGCTTAAAACAAATACAAATGAGATTTAATTATTTCCCATGTTCCAAGCGAAGTCACAAAAGTTCCAATCTTTCAAGTAGTCCCGTACCCAGACGAACATAATAATATTCTAACTAATATCCGATAAGTTCTATATTTTCAATAATGAAGTATACCATAAGGACACAGAGTTAGTAATATATGACAAATGTATAGTTGGATTAATCAAACAAGAAGAAACTCAGTGTAAATACACTAAGACTCATAAAAATGTTCAGATCAATTACATAGAACCGAATATACTAATTACATGGAATCTACCAGAAACAACTATCAATCAAGATTGCACTAACAACAAAATTGTAATATCTGGAAATAATATTGTAAAGATTGCAAATTGTATAATACAATTTGATGAATTCATAATTTCAAACAATGTAGCAGATTTTACACAAACAATTTACATAACTAATAAACCCATAGAGTATTTACAAACCAAGGAAATAATAAATTCCCATGTAAAATACTACAATGTATTCCAATGTATTTCGGTAAAACAAAAATATTTTTTTTTTGACATACGGATGGTATGAACATTGTAATTATATATTTCTTAGAAGTGTGGGCGTGACAGGGTTGGGCAGTTTGTTTGCGTGTCCGAAATATTTGAGCATATTGATAGATATTGGTAACACAAAAAAGGAGATGAAAAAATGAAATTAAAAAAATGGGTGTGGCATTTTTGGACGACTTGTGAGCGTTACATTAGAAGTGACAAAAATATTTTAAGCATATAGAAAGAAACCAAAGAATGAATCTTGTTCAAACTACCTATATAAATCAAAATGTAGCATTTCTTATAAAGAAATTATGGAAAATTTTTTAATCATTTCGTAAATGGTTATTTTTTGACAAAACTATACTAATTTTGCGCATTTCCTTTGAAGGCCTTGGGTTCAAGGCAGTTTATTGGCAGTTTAATAAAATGGTTATATATTATTAATAAATGTTGCTATTTGTTGCTGCTATTAATTTAATATCAGAAATTTGTAAAATCCATAGTTTTTAAAAATGTTGGGTTCCTTTTAATAACGATATATGCCAAATATATTTTTGTTAAGATTAAGATTAAGAAATACACGATGATCGATATAATTCAATGTCAAGGAAAACTGAAAAAAAATATATATAAAATATAGTTACCATAATCTTCTTCATAAATTATTGCCACCTTCGTCCAGTTCAAGTAGACCATTATATCTCTATATGCTAGAGTTAAGAGCGTATGCGACGGATATAAATTAACAGAAAATTCTTTGGAATTATATTCAAGATCAATGCGACCTTCAATATGGGGTATATCATAAGCTTCGCATATAGATTGTACATGACTAGCTAGAAGAGCATCAGTTGGGCCAAAAATTGCTTGAACACCTGTCTCCAACTGGCTGCAAACCTTTTTAGTAGTGCGAAACGAGTCATCTCGGGGAACATATTCAATATCGTATACCAACTGGGTATTTGGAAGAAGAGTCTTTTCCTTATTTATACGGTATATTGCGTATTTAAATGCCGATTCAATACTGCTTTCACGTTCATCGTCGGTAAATATGGCACCTGGTAATACAGCAAGGCCTTATAATAGTCGAAATAAATTAATTATTCACTGTAAACTTACCTACGCGTATTACTGGGGGCAATGCATTAGCAATCACGAGTGTGGAAAATATTATATACGAAAAACATATTTCTTTAAGGTATCTTTGGCCTTGTAAATTTTCCTTTATTATGGTTTTCCGTTTTCTTCGTACCTAACAAGCATACAAATGTTATTTTAAATAAAGGTACTAATACTTTTTTTTACCATTATTCTATGTGGATAATTCTGCTTAATTACATTCCGAAACTCTTGGTTATAATTTATTAGCGTAAAGACATTTGTTTAGCACGAAGAATCGAATATAAATTGAATGCAATGGAAAAAGCACCACTAATAAGAAACCCCACGAAAACACACCCCAAAGTTCTGAGCTTTAAGCTCTAAGAAGCCAACAAAAAGGTACTCTTTATGCATGCAGTTTTTTTGTAATTCCTTTGTGTTGAGCAAAAAGTGCGAGAGTACTTAAATATGTAAATGTAAATAATGAACAAAACACATTTTTCAAGATTAAAAAGCAATGATTTGTTTGAACAGCCCATATTTTATAATATTAAAATCTATTAATATGGTATTATATTATAATAATAATATATTATATTAATATAATATAATATTGTAATATATAATATAAATAATATATTATTATTAATATTATCATATATTAATATTTTGAAATTCAAATGCCTTGATGCAAAGTTTTGAATTAACTAATTAATATTAAATTACTTAATCGAGAATTTCCAAATCATAGCCTTCACAACATCTATCTGTGAACGTGTCCTAAGGCGACTACTACATATACACAATTCAAATAAATAGAATGTCAGCATGTATGTATGTTTGCTTTAAGCAAACGGATAAAAAGGAACTAGAAGAGGATCCAATAAATTTGGCGGGTTTTTTTACCCACCCAAATTGCACGGTTTTTAAAATATAAAATTAGAATATAACAAAAACATTTTAAGAATGTTTGTCATTTACAATTACAAAAAAAAATAATAACGAAATAAATAATAAATAATAAATTAAGGTTGCGGCACCGGTCTTAGGAAATACCGATTTTTCACATAAATCTGGGTATTTTCCCTATCCGAATAGAAAAAATGTATCGAATTGGCAACTCCTTTATTTTTAATTATTTTTTTGGTATGGGAAGGTCCAAAATGAGGAGAGAAAAAAATGGCACCACTATCTATTTTTCAAATATTCGATACATATCGTCGGTTTTTTTTGATAAAAAGCACATGGTTATAAACTTGATTTTTGTATTCCCATTTTCAACATTTTTTTTGAAAACCTTAAACAAATTATTGAAATGGGACGTGACATGATCAAAAAACTCATATCTCAGGAAAATCATGTCGAATGCTTCAATGCTCGAACAAAATGATACGTAATGCAATGAGAAAAGCCCGAAACACGTGGAAGAAAACGATCACTGGGCGCACCCATCTCGACAGAAGGCTAATGCGCGCGAGCAGGAAGGATCCATTTAAAGCTGCTACCGAACTGAAAAAGGAGCTCAACATATCCGAAACATATCCAAGGAAAGTCCCAGTTTTAAATGGGAGCCAAGCGCATTAAGTTCGCCAAGGAACATATAATTGGCCATGCGAAAAATGGAGGAACATTATATGGTCAGATGAGAGCAAGGTTGTTCTTTTTGGTGGCAAGGGATCTCGAGTGTATGTAAGGCGCCCTAAGAATGAGCCAAATTACACTGTAATAAAATTAAACACGAAGGATCCAGTGAAATGGTAATGGGCTTGTTTCAATACATTGGATAAATACCATCATGGATCAACATGTCTATGTGGATATTTTGGAGACGGTGATGCTACCCCTTGCCGAATATGATATGCCACTAAAATGGGTCTTCCATCAAGACAATGACCTCAAGCACACCAGTAGGAAAGCCAAGGATTGGTTCAAAGAAAAATCTGTTCCTGTTTTGGAGTGGCCTGCCCAGTCCCCAGACCTAAATCCAAACGTAAATCTTTGATCGGATATTAAAAACGCAGTTCTAGCTTCTAAGCCAACTAACAACGAACAGGCTTTGGGCTATGACTAAGGAGTCCTGGAGCAAAATATCCCTAAAATGCTGCCAGGACCTGGTTGACTATATGCGAAAACTTTGCAGCTGTTATTGCTAATAAGGGATAGACTAAAAAAATATTAAATGAGTGGGATAGGAGTAGTTTTAATATACAAACATTTGTTATAACTGAATTTGTTACTATTAAGTTTCAAATTGAAGATTTAAGCATTTTTCATAAAGTGGTGCTATTTTATTTATCGCCTAATTTTGTCGTTCTTAATATAGTTCCTTATTTAAGATAAGCATAAATAGAACAATTGTAGTTATTTTTTATTTCCTAATAAGTGAATTGTTTACCCTATCTAAGAACAGATTCTGCCAGTCAACCTCCAAACACACTCAAGACTGTCGAGCATGGTGGACGTAAAATCCTGGTGTGTCCAGCACAATCTTCCGCTCTAAAACCTGTGGGGCGACAATATGTGAGGAACGATATGTGTCGAAGAACTCCCCAAATTCTAAGGCTCAGCTTTGGCAAGTTGTGTAGGATGATGCATGGGTTCAGATTCCCCCAAACGGTGCCCAGACTTGGTGGACTCCATGCCGCGTAGGTGTAAGGCTGTAAAAGCCAACAAGGCTTTGCAACAAAGTATTAGATCCCAATCACACAATCAAAAGAAAAATTTTGTTAGTTTTGAGTCAATTTGAATATTTTTTGCTATTCTCTCCTAACACTGCTTTTTAGTAAACATCAGAATTTATGCCCCTTTTATGTTGTTTTTACCCATATTTTCGAAACTGTTGAAGAAATAAAAATTAAACATTTGTTGAATTATTTGAAATTAAATACCAAATGATGTTATAAAGATTTTTTTCCTTTAAAAAGTGTAAAACAGAATTTTTGATCTTATCTTTATCTTTTTTTATCTCACGGATCATAGCACTACTATTTAAAGGACTACTATAATCGCGGGGTCATAGCACAACTATTTAAGAGAAAACAGCTGTGCATATTAAGCATATAAAAAATTAACATTAAACTAAACGTTTTTGATATGTTGAATTTTTAAGTTTTATAAATACAACACAGAAAAATTATAAATTATTAAAATTAGTCTGTATAAATTACATATTTTATTTTAACGAGTAATAGTTTTAGATGGACACCCAGTTTTTTTTACTTTTCTGTAGGTCCATCGGGGATCGTTCAAGGCACAAGTGCAGTTTTCTCACCAACATACATATGTTCATATTTTAACCAAATTCCAAACGAATTTATATACATATACAAGTTTATTAGAGTCTAGTTTACAGCATAGGAATATCAATTCCTATCTTACAATATAAGGAATATTTTTATTTTTTAGCCAGTTCAGCTGATAGCCAATCAAGTCCTTCATATAGTCCGTGACCTTGGGTAGCACATGTAGATTGAATAAACCACTAAAAATATGTATACATAAGTAAATATTTGCGAAGAAATTACCACTTATACATACGTGGCGATTCCTTAATTGGTTAAGGCGCAACTTGTCCGTAAGCTCGGCAGCTGTCATTGCATTCGGTAGGTCCTGTTTGTTAGCAAAAATCAAAAGTACTGCATCCCTAAGCTCATCCTCCTGGAGCTGTGGAGAAAATAATATATGGTATTTGTTGACACGTATGTACATCCAATTCATAAAATAAAATGAGTACCATGTTCTGTAGTTCTCTTTCAGCTTCAGTTATACGATCACGATCGTTGGAATCCACTACAAATATTAGACCCTGTGTATTTTGGAAATAGTGTCTCCACAACGGACGAATTTTGTCTTGGCCACCAACATCCCAAACGGTAAAACATATATTTTTATATTCCACAGTTTCAACATTGAAGCCAATGGTTGGTATGGTGGTTACAATTTCACCAAGCTTTAATTTGTACAGAATAGTCGTTTTTCCCGCAGCATCCAAACCAACTGCGTGTAAAAATATATTAAGTTATGCGCACGTTGATTGTAAAATTAAGCGAGAACTAAAGGCTTAAAGGAACTAAAGGTCGGAAATACTTAAGGCAGTGAAGTATCGAATTTTAACAACATACCCATAAGAATACGCATTTGTTTCTTTCCAAACAAACGTGTCAAAAGACTAGATATGGTTAGTCCCATGTTTAATAAAAAATATTTTATGGGGCAGAGTTGTTCTTAAGTAAATTGACGTGTAAACTAGTCATTCGATTAGTAATGCTGCACTTTTAAGAAAAGTAGAACGATGCTAAAGAAATCCAGTATTCTATAAATACTGCAAACAGTATATTGGCCAGTTGAAACCAATGAAAAGAAACACAAAACTGCACCGACATTCAATATCTTCTGAATTTGTATGCACCATTAAGACCAATTTTTTTTTAATAAAAGCATTTTTAAATAAATTTTGTACGTGAAAATTTTATAATTTAATATACTTAGAAAAGGGGCACGTAGAAGGGGCTAAGAGTACTGTATCTTAGCAGGATGTTCTCAAAAGCTTAGGGAGTATACAACTCAGACTAAGTTTTCGTTGTTGTCGGAGTTAAACAGTTTTTAAAAATCCCAACTGTTTCATACAAATGTCGTATGTGGGACTATTATATAATTCCCGAACTCTAACTGCCAAAACAACCATATTTTTTATCCCACGACTAATGGGGTGAAAAGGTGATATCAATATTTAAAACCAATTAACTAATATTTAAATACCATAAATCTGCCTAAAAATACGTTTTTTTCTTCTGAATATCGTAATCAAGTTCCTCCACTCTATTTTAAAAAAATTATTTATTTTGTATTAAGGTCGGCTTAGATTGGGTTTTCGTAATCTTAGTTTCATAAGCCGATTCAAAAAAATTGTTTTCCGGTTCCTAACATCACGACCGATACTTACATTTTTATTCATCATACAATATGTGTTATTGTATTATTTTATATTATTGGCCGATATATATGACAGACCATTTTTTTTGGAATGGTATCGGCTACACAAATTTGATTTTATATGTTTTACTTAAAATAACCATATATTTTGCCTCCAATGCAAAATTAAAGAATAAAGCTTAAAAGTCGTGGGATATCCAGAAATCCGAATATCTATAGATCAATAAAAAAAACCAATAAATAGGCCGCATCGAGACCTATGCTAAACATATATAATTCAAGACAGTGCACTATGGGGAATTTAACCTAATGTGTTAAAACAAATGTGTTTTTAAAAGTTTTGGAAATTAAAAAAAAAATTTTTTTTAATGAACTTAGAATTAATCAAAGGCTTATGCTATGCAACGGAAATGCTAAGTTAACACTCCAATGTAAAAAAAAATC